AATCCTGTATATTCTATTTCGATTTTAGAATGAGGCACAAGTTGGTAGGAAGCTCTGAGTGTGAGTGAGGGGCAGCTCTTTGGCTGTACTGCTCACAGCCTCACTAGGGGGTTCTCTGTACTTGGAAGTAGATCGGTTGCTCCTGAGAAGAATCCTCGAATCTTTCTCCTGGAGCATACAGGTCCCATTGCTGATGTTCTGGGAACAAAGTAGACTCATGTGTGCTCTCAGGACACTCCACCTATCACAGCACCCATCAGCCACCTGATCCTTTTCCAGCATGTCTTCACACTGTGTTGTAAACCCAGGGAGCCAGGGACCACGTCTGTCTTTTTCACATCTCCCCAGAACCCAGCGCAATCTGTGATTCATAACAGGCACTGCAATGTGTTTGCAGAATGAATAAACAGCGAGTGGAGAGCTCAGGTGCTGGCTCAGGTTAACTACAGGGTAATATTAGTTATCGTTAGGACACAGGGACCTTCACAAATCTACCCAGAGCATTGGAGATTTTGCCTGTAAATTTAGTAGCGCCATTTGCCATCTCCACAGCCCACGTACAGTTGATAGCTCTGAATATCGTGATTCTGATTCTCTCAGATCTAATTTGCTCCTTGTGATGGCAAAAGCACTGCAAATTCAGTGAGCAAGAGGCATGCCCCTGGATTATGAAAACTGTCACTTGTTCTTGGTTCCTATGCTTGCAGACATTCTAGTAATTACCCAAGGTTGGAATGGGCTTTAAGTTCCTTTATTGGGGTGGGTACAGGGGATTGAACTCAGGGATACTTGAGCACTAAGCCACATGCCCAGATCTATTTTATATTTTATTTAGAGACAGGGTCTCACTGAGTTGCTTAGCACCTCGCTTTTGCTGAGGCTGTCTTTGAACTTGCAATCCTCCTGTCTCAGCCACTGGGATTACAGGCATGCTTCACTGTGCCTGGCTGGCTTTAAGTTCTTTAAGTTCCCTTCACATGGTGAAATCTGCTCTGCTACTTGAGGGGAACAGAAGCTGGTCCTTGGGGGTGGAGCCTTAATAGACACAGGAACTGGCAACGAACACCTTGAGCTCAACCATGCTGGGAGGAACATGGAGAAAGGAGGCCAGGGCAGAAAGGACGTAGACATATGTGAGAGCAGGGAGACAGCCACCCTGCAAAGAATAAAGAGGTGCCCCTAAAGGGCAGAGGAAGGAGGAGATTGTGAGGACCTATGTACTAGTCAGGTTGGGCACAGGCTGAACTGAGAAAGCAGAGGCTTGACTATACCGTGGCTGACACTGACAGCCCTGTGACAGTCCAGAAATGAGCAGTCCAGGCAGGTGGTGTGTCTTTGCTCTATGAATCCGATTTAGACCCCAGAAACCAATTTTTTTAAAAAATTCTTTCATTCCTTAGATATTTTTTCTTTGACTTCATGATCATAGCTGGGCCGTTGGCATGTTAGCATTTCCACATAGTGGAAGAGGGAAAAAGTGGCAGCAGAGGGCATCTTTTTCCAGAGTGACATGATAGATGCACACATCACTTATATTTCTTTACAAAAACTTAGCCCATTAGTAGAAATAGAGGTTGGAATATGAATGGCCACATACCCAGATAAAACTCTGCAACTATGGAAAAAGGACACAGTTTTGCACTGGGTGTGGTGGCTCATGCCTGTAATCCCAGTGGCTTGGGAGGCTGAGAAAGGATTGAGAGTTCAAAGCCAGTCTCAGCAAGGGCAAGGCACTAAGCAACTTAGTGAGACCCTGTCTCTAAATAGAATATAAAATAGGGCTGGGGATGTGGCTCAGTAGTCAAGTGCCCTGAGTTCAATTTCTGGTATTAAAGAGAGAGAGAGAGAGAGAGAGAGAGAGTTTTGGAGAACAACTAGTAGTCTGTCTGTCTGTCTCACTTTTCAAGGAAATAAAAGCAGAGAAGGAATGGCCAAGGATGGTTTCAGTGGCAAATACCCTTACCTGGTTCTGTCCTTTTTTGCGTCTGGTGTCGGTAGTCAGGCAGGGATCATTCACTTCAGGTATATTTAAAGAAGAACCTGAAGAGCTTTCAGAACTCAAAGTCTTGTGAAGGTAATGAAAGTACTGGCTGACACTGAGGACAGTCTAGAGTGAGCACTTTACAGTACATATTATATTTGTATTAAGCACATTACACAAGGCCACACAGTGACATCTGACTCCACATTCTTAGACCTCCTCACCAAGGGTCTGGTCAATTTCTGTACATAAAGTGGGTTAGAGTACATACGTAGCTTGACCTCAGCTCACATAAACTGGTCAGACAAGAATGACCATTCCTGTCCTAAAGCTCTCCTTATTGGTGGCACAGAGCTTTGTCTTTGTTAACCTTAACATAAGCTGTATATCACTGAACACTTCCTTCTCTAACTGAACTCTTTGGTTTCCTTTTTTTTTCTTCATACTGGGGTTAGAAACCAGAGGTGCTCTACCACTGAGCTACATCCTCAGCCCTTTCTATTTTTTTTTTTTTAAATTTTTAGACAGGAACTTGCTAAGTTGCTGAAGTTGGCTTCGAACTTCTACCCTTCCTGCCTCAGCTTCTGAAGTGATTGGGATTCTATGCAACACCGTGACCCTCCTTTGTCATATGTCTGTGGGAAATAGTGGTCTTTGGCACCAAGACAATAGAAAGAGACTTAAATTTTTTTTTAATTGTCCATGGATCTTTTATTTATATGCAGTGCTGAGGTTTGAACCCAGGGCCTCATCCATGCCAGGCAAGTGCTCTACCACTGGGCCACTACTCCAGCCCTGGCAAGGGAGTTTTAAAAATCCTTTTCCAGGAAATACCTTTCCTATTTGTAATCCAAACTGAACCTTGCACACTCATTTTTGTAAGATTGTAATGTTATCTAATAACATGCATCCTCTCAAGCAATGTAAGTTTAATACATAACCTCTGTGCTCAAAGCAGGATGAGGTACAGAACTAAGATAGGCTGGAACAAGCAGAGTAATGTGGATTGACAGACCAAGCATACAAATCTTCTGCAATTTGTGTTGATAGTCCAGACTATAAACATAACAAAGAATAGAGCTTCCTTGTTCAGTGTGCCAGACTTTCCAACCTACACATCAGAATGAACTTAGTCTCCCAGAAAAGGCCATGAAAGACGTAGGGGTAACACTGTACACGACCTAAGGCACACAATTCATAAAGGGTTTCTATGAACTCCTGATGTTTTTTTATGTTGGTCAATTTGCATGGTGGAATATGACCTGAAAGACAGCATTTAAACTGGTAATATAGGAATAAAGCATAAACACTAAAAAAGCCTGCTGATCTCTATGTATTAGCAGGACAAGATTTCTTCCTTCCTAGTATAGGAAGTACTTTCCGGTGCCCTATTATGCAAGGAATGGAGGAATTTCCTGAAGAGGCCAGAGAAGGTAAAAAACCAATAAAAGCACCCATCTTTAGATGATGAAGGAAGCTCATGATTACTCAGATTTACAATTAGGAACACTGCATGCCCAAAGATAACAATAGTTAGATGTTTACTTCACCAAAGAAAAAATGACCTACTATTGCCTAACTGACTCCGGTGTCAAAATTAAGTCCTGAATATTTAATAGAATCTCAAACTTCAAAATATAAGCCAAGTTCCATTTCCTGGAAAAGTCAGGAAAAGGGAAAAATATATGATTCATTTATATTTGTTTACTACTTAAAAGTTCTCATTTACACTTTAGGAAAGATAAAATTTGTAGATATAATGGGATATATTCACAATCTATCTATAGAATTCTAATTTTTTTCTGAAGCACAGCTGTGTTAGTTACCTTTTTGTCCTTGTGACCAAAATACACATCAAGAACAACTTAGAGGAGGAAGTTTATTTTGGCTCTTGTTTCAGAGGTGCATGGTCAGCTTACTCCATTGCTCCCAGCCTGAGGTGAGACAGAACATCATGGCAGAAGGGTGTGGCCGAGAAAAGTTACGCAGCTCAGCGCAGCTGGGAAGTAGAGCGCAACAGGGACAGATACCTTGGGGTATCCCCAAGATCATACCCCAGTGACCTTCATCTGCCAGCCATGCTCCACCTGCCCTCCCAGTAGTCCATTCAGATTATTAGTTCATCAGACGAACTGATCCATCAGTGAGGTCAGAGCCCTCACAATCCAATCTTCTCAACTCTGAACACTGCTGCATTGCCTAACACGTGCTTTGGGGGATGTTCCAGATCCAAACCATAACAACCCTGGTACAGTCATAGTCACTTCAAAATGGAAAACTTATATGTATTTTTGTGTATACAGAAAAAAATATATATATACACACATATATCTTTTTTAAAATCGGGTTTCTTTCAATTAACATATTTATTTCTTTACCCAGGTGCTTTTTTTGAAAAGACGACTCTGAAAAACTTCCAGCAGTTGGATTTGGCAGGAAATTGTGTGAGCAGTGATGGATGGCTTGCCTTCATGAGTGTATTTGAGAATCTTAAGCAATTAGTATTTTTTGACTTCAGTACTGAAGGATTTTTACCAGATGCAGCATTAGTCAGAAAACTTAGCCATGTGTTATCCAAGTTAACTTTTTTGCAAGAAGCTAGGCTTATTGGATGGCAATTTGATGATGATGATGTCAGTGTTATTAAAGGTGCTTTTAAACTAGTAATTGCTTAAATAAAGGGTACCCTAAGCCAATGAGCATTTTAGATCCTTTATTTTCAGCTTGATGGTTTAAAAATCTTGCAAAAGGAGCCAAAGACGATGAGGAAGTGGAAGGGAATTTAATTTGTAACATGTAAGTTTTGTGTCTCATCCCTCCAACTGGTATTATCAGCAACTTGAAGAAATCTTGTTCATATTTGGGTTACTCTCAGCCCCAGGAATACTGGGTCACAAAAATTGATATATTGTGTGCATATTTATTTAGTACAGTGCTGCGTATGTAAGAAACTCAACAAATTTTGCCAAATATGATATTTAAATTATCGATAAATATCTCTTAAATAAACAAACCAAAATTATCTAAAACTTCATATATGCTCTTTAATTCAAACAATATAAATCAAACAACGTGGAATGTAACTTTCTCATTTAGAAGCAGATCAGACTCCCAAAAAAGAGCAGCGTTTTTGAGTCAAACAAAAACTGGTAATTTACAAGCAGCTAAATCAGAGGCTTGAAATTAGGTCTTCTCCCAGTAACTGGTATATTCATTGTATGTAATTCCATGTGATTTCAAAAACTAAGAAAGGAAAAATGTATCTCATTCTTTTGTACCCCACAGAAGCAAAGAATACCTTGCCCTAATTTTTTTCTACCTCCCCCACAAAGAAAAAAGTCTAAGAAAAATCTTTCTAATCTACAGATTTAAGTCAAGGCAAATCTGAAAAACAAAATGTAAGTGGTATTAGCCTGTGATTCACCTTTCGTTTTCATGGCACCTCAAATTAATGGCTTGGGTGTTGGTGTAGGCAACACTTGGCCTGTGTGTTGAGGTAGTCACTAGACAGAAATTCTGGGCACAAAATTTGTTTAGTAATTGGGCACATATTCTGCAGATTTAGTCATAAAGTTTTTGAGGTGTTATTTTACAAATAAACAAATTCACTGCTCTCCCTAATTTTACAAATAAGAAAGCTCAGAGAAGTTAAATGACTAACTTGACCCTAGTTACAAACTATTGACATAGCATCTTGCCTCCTAGCTAGTGTTTTCCATAATACATTGATTTTTAAAAACAGGGTTAATCACACTCCATTGAGCTTGATTACAAACATGGGCCAAGCACTGAAATGATTTTTCCTTCTTTGTCTAGCTTCCAGTGGTTCTGTGATAGGATTTACCAGTAAGGCTGCTCTACACAGGCCTGAGCTGGTCATGTTTCTTGGAGCTTGGCAACTAAGACGTCACTTCTAATAACACACAGGCCAACATCACCTGCAACACTTGGCATTACTGATTTTCAGCAAGAGGGGCCAGTTCCTTCACAACCCACAGGTCACTGAGTGTCCTTTCTCAAGTAGTACAGGTATTAAAGCACCTTTGATGGGATAGCTGTGCAGGTGTTGCCTCTGAACGAGTGTTGAGGAAGCACGCCTAGAACCTCACACAGAGCTGTGGTTGGTAACCGAACACTTTTTAAAATCCCATGGGGATGGAGAAGACATGTATGGGGTGGTAGCACATACTTTTTGTTTTGCAGTGGTAGGGATCGAACCCAGGGCCTGTGCATGCTAGGCAAGCACTCAACTACCGAGCTACATCCCCAAGTCCCAGCAAATACCTCTTAATTATCACTCAGCACATGGCAGTACTTCAGATTTCATGTTATGACCCCAATTCACAGTTAGATGAGGTCAGTGGAAGAAAAATCACCCAGTAACAGGAGACCAATAGGCGTAGAAATAGTTGGAGAACATCCGAAAAAGGACAGGAAAAGGTTGCCTCATGACATTTTACAAGCTTTCATTTACTCCAGTAGTCAAGGTAGCCTGGGATCTTTTTCTTCATTGGGTCAAGTGGCCAAACAGGGTTGCAGATGTCAAAGACAATGAATCACTCTTCACTAAGCAAAAGGTATTTAGAACATGCTGACTTATTACCACAAATGACTACAATTCTGCTTGACAGAGATGGTTTCTTGAATGTCTGCGATTCCACTGTAAAGAAAGGATTTTGAAGTGTTGTCCTTACTTAAAAGAGAATAAGTTGACTGAAGAAATTGTTGCAAATTCTACTAAAACAAAATTCTTGTCTATATAGCTGGTTGATATCTGGGAAAGTTATAAATCTCCAGCTCCGGATTCCAGAAAAACTTTAATCTATTCTCAAAATGCTTTTTCAAAACCACAATTATAGAACACATAATAAAACAAAACAAAAAGAAGCCTTGCAGGTAATGTGTGAGTGCTACTTGTTATACTTTTTGAAAGAAATACTGGCCACATTGGAAAGTCTTTAAAATCTGCATTTGGAAAATAACCAAAAAAAATTATATAATCTACATGATTTTCACACTGTTCATCACAGTTAACAATTCACTATCTTTAACAAAGTAAAACAAAAAAAGCCAGAAACTGCTCACTGCAGACTTGACAATACTGTATTCTATAATCGAAGTTCCATTATACTTCTACAAAATGATATAATATATAGTCAAATTCCTTAGGCAAATTTGAAAAGATATCAAATTCCATATGATGTCTGGAATTCCAAATATTTGGAGTAACATGTTTGACATATTTTGTTAATAAAATGAGAAATTTAAAAGTTAACCAATTAAAATTTGTTAGAGATAAATATTATGTCAGTATTTGATTAAATATAATATAGAAACCTGTGATTCTTTCACTGCATTTCACCAAAGGTTTGATATTCACTGAACCAATTAAAACACTGGGCACTATGGATTATTTACAAATGTGTTAAAACTTATAAATGATGAGAAAAACTTTTAAGAAAACTCTGGATTCAAAAATTTAAATTGCGCTACATAGTAGAACGTATCCCAAAATTTCTGATAAAAATTTTTGCTTACTTTATAAGATATAATTCAGGAAGACCTCAAAGAAAAAATGTAGCAAGTAAGTTTGGAAAAGCTATAAAAGAGCCTTTTACTTTTCAAATGGCATTTTTGTCCTTTCCTAAAATGTATATTATTTAAGAAGCATGTTTATAAATTTCACTAAAGAAAATATTGTCTTCTTAGTAAAGTGATAGATCCACTCCATGAAGTGGCTCTCTTAATAAAAGTAGGGTCGTATCACATTGCAGTCAGCTACAAAACCAAGGATAGCAAAATTCAAATTTAGAGAAACACGCTTTCTAAAGGAAGTCTATTTAAAGACTATAACATTTACAAGGATCTCACTGCCACAAAACATTTTACAAAAATATAGTTTATAGGTTTCATGAAATGTGAACAAGCCTACTATTCTCTAACATTTCGTGTAAATGATTGAACAGTCAATGCAAAGTTGAATTACTAAATATATTGGAAGCCTAGGAGTCAATATTCTTCATAAAAATAAATTAGAGTACATCATGGTCTTGGTTGTCCAATTCTATTGTTATTTCCATATCTACTTGGTATATTTGTAAAACCAGTCCTGAATCCTTGGGTGGCTCCCATTCCTGGAACTCCAAGTCCTTGATTAAGCATACTGCTATAGGGTGTGTGTCCATGATTAAGACCCAAACCATAGGGCCTTGTTTGTGTGTTTAGAAGAATAACAGGGCTCACATTTTTTCCAGGGGTATTAAACGAAAATTCTGGAGGTGGACTACTATGTTTAGCTGGAGTTGATGTGACAGGGTTCGAATCATCAGTACTCTTTAAAAGAGGCATTGGAATTATGTGATGGTCTGAAAAGTTTAGGACATTGGCTGCAACAGGCCCAGACAGTAAGGCTGGCCTGATCCAATCATCCTTGAAAATTTGAACAGTCAGAGTAGATACAAGAGTATACAGCCTGTTGGTGACATGAGCAAGAACCATTTGTTCATTTGCATCTCGTCGAATTCTTACATGCACTGATCCAGCCTAAAAGGGGCAAAATCATAAGAGAACACTTAGAATTATATTACTGAAAATTCCATTAGAAATAAACAATTTACTTATGATTTGGTCAGTTCTTAGAAAATTCTTTAAAATAAGAGAAAGCATAATGTCTTGCTATTTCTGGAAGACTACTTACTGATAATTATTAATGTAAAAGTTGAAGAAATAATTTCTGACTATTTAAAATATAAAAAATTCAGTTAAGACAAAGATAGGTATAAGTTAAAACACATGGCAGAAAAAAATAAAGTATATGAAAACATGGTAGATGGGAACAATAGGTAAGTATTAATTCCAACTGGAGAAGACTTCGAAAGAAGACTGCATTTGACCTAGGACCGATGATTAAATGGAATTTCAAAAAGTGGAGAAAGGAATTTGGTGCTGAGGAAAGAGCAATTAAAATACATGGCATACCTATTAAGAATAAGCAATATTGTAATTTATACTAATATATAAAGAAGTACAAACATTTTGAGGGGCAGAAGAAGGAACGATAAGAAGAAAGAGAAGGGGCTGGGGCTGCAGCTCAGTGGCAGAGCACTTGTTTAGCATGTGAGGCAATGGGTTCAATCCTTAGCATCACATAAAAATAAACAAATAAGATAAAGGCATTCTGTCCATCTACAAATATAAAACATTTTTAAAAAAGAAAAGAAGAAAAGAGAAGGAGGGGGGAAGATATGTAGGTAATACATTAAAAAGTTAGGCTAATACATGGCTCTAAAAATGATAAAGAAGTTCTGATTTAATAGCATTCAAATAGAAGTGAAATAATCTGAGTTTGGAAAAAATGCAGGTATGGACGACTGGTAACCAGGTAGGAAATGAGTGCAACAGTCTAGGTTTGAAATGAGGAGAGCTGAGCTACAACAAAAATAGTGGGATCAGAGAGGAACAGATGGATTAGTCACACTCCAGAGGTAGAAGTGAGAAGACCTGATACCACCTGGTACTAATAGATGAAGGAGATGGACTCATCTGAGATGATCTCAAGGTTTCTATCCTAGATACTAGAAGGATAGAGAGCCATAGGCATTACATTTATTAACCTGAAAAGGTGTTTATTACGCATTATATTTTTCAAGTAAATAATAAAATGTAGGTATAACAATGATCCTATTTTGGTTAAAACAGACAAACAGAAAAATATCAAGAAAAGCAATTATCTCTATATGGCAAAATTATTAAGGATTTTTATTCTTTGTGACTTACAAGTTACAAGTTTTTAGTTTTCTAATAGCTATTATTTGCCAAATAAAAATATGTAATGAATAAAATTAAATAAAATGTCCAGCAAACATGCTTTGTTGATTTGTAGATAAAGTAAGCTTTAAAGTAATTTTTAAAGTTATTACAAAACATAAACTGTACATAAATTAGCATCTAATTACAATGTGTGTGAATCTATGACTTGAAACATTAATTACAGAATACTAATACAAAAGCTATTGTCAATCATAACATAAAAAAAACCCTTATATTCCTTTAACATGACTTGTAGTTAATTACTTTTAGGTAAGACAGGCCATGTATATAAATCAAGTCATCTTTGGGCTGGGGTTGTGGCTCAGCAGTAGAGCACTCACCTCACATGTGCGAGACCCTGGGTTCAATCCTCAATACCACATAAAATAAATAAGTGAAATAAAGATATTGTGTACAACTACAACTAAAAAATAAATATTAAATAAATAAATCAAGTCATCTTTAATTCTCTCTTTTCTTTGACACTATCATTTTGTGGTTTGACATGGAATGCAAAGTAATCAAAACAAATGAAAAACCATTCCAGGATATGAGCTTGAACAGTTTCCTATGAGTTTGTTACATGTGTTAATCTAAGGTTTTTGTTACATACATTTTAGGCAGCTTAAAAGCCTGTTAATTTCCGGGGTCTTACTGAGGGACTATGTAGGTAGGTATGGTTTCTAGATAATAAAATTCTGAATAGTTTAGATGACTATATTCTTTGTGTTCATAAGCCATCCAGCTTAAGAAACATTTGTCTACTTATTTATTAATATGGTCAGTATAATTAAAAGAATGGTTAAAAATGAGCTGCAGAACTGGAGGAATATAAGTTGGTAGAAGGCATTTTGCACCAAAACACAAAAAAATGTGATTATTTTCTTACAAAAATCACTTCTAAAAATTAATCTTAAGGAATAATAACAGATATGTGTAAAGATCATTCCACCAAATGTTCATCCCATCCTGTTTAGGAAAAAATAGAAAACCATCTAAATGTCCATTTGGGGATTGATATAATAAAATATGGCATATGTATATAATGTAAAACTGCAACTACTAAAAATTATGTTGGGATTCTTGGAAGATGGCAGTGGTTTTTGAAATCCCCAAATATCCTTGCAAAAATAGAAAAGCTAAGACAACAAAACTGAAAATCTATGAACAACATCGACCAAAACAACTTAAGGGCTGGGAGCTAGGGTTGTAGCTTAGTGGTTGAGTGCTTGCCTTGCATGCATGAGGCACTGGGTTTGATCCTCGGTGCCACTAAATAAATAAATAAATAAATAAATAAGATATTGTGTCCATCACAACTAAAAAAAAAATGTTTAAAAAAATAAACAAAAATTTAAGGGCTGTGGTTGGCTTGGCAGTAAAATTGCCTAGCATGTGTGAGGCACTGAGTCTGATCCTCTGCACCATAAAAAACAAACAAACAAATAAATAAATAAATAAATGTGTTTGTGTCCATTTACAACTAAAAAGAAAACAAAAGCAAAACCAAAAAAACTACCAAACTTAATAACATTGGTACTCCTATGAAGTTACAAATATAAGCGGTAAAACCTGCAAGACATCAGAATCTGTGCAGGAGGAACAAAAGGAACTAACAGGACACCTGACTGACCTAAAAACCCAGAAGCAGCTAAATGGCACTTAACAGAAATCTAGGACAGTCAATCTGAGAAAGGTAGCTGAAACCAGGAGAGGCTTCACACATCTCAATCCTGGGTGAGTTCACTGGCTCTGCCATAAGTCTGAAGAGCTGTAGGAGCCTGAGCCCCGCGAGCTCTCAAGTAGCCAGGCAAAGCTCCCTTCTAGGACAAAGCCCAATAATAAGTAGAAACAACTGGGAAGAGAATCCAATTGAGTAGCCCAGCAGAGACAAAGGATAAAGGAGATTCAGATGTAGAATAGTTAGGAGGAAAAAACTCAACAAAACAAAAACGTTCACTTTATAAAAATCATCAAAAAAGGGAGCTCAAACCCATGATTTTATATGAACTATTTTAAACCAGTCCTAATTATAAAACACAGGAAAGCTAATTTCCCATAAAAATGGACAACAGAAAAGAATCAAGGTCAAAAATCACATAAAATTACTATAAGAAAAAAATGTAAAAGAGATTATAAAAGATGATCAGAAAGACATAAGTATGAGGGCTAGGGTTGCGACTCAGTGGTAGAGTGCTTGCCTAGTATGTGTGAGGCACTGGGTTCAATCCTCAGCACAACATGAAAAATAAATAAAATGAAGTGTGTATGTGTGTGTGTGTATATATAAAATACATAACTATAAATGAGGTAAAAACTATTACCTGCTTTTTAAAAATAAGTCAAAAGGCATGAAACAAGAACATGAATCAGAATTACAAAAATGTGGAAATGAGATGACAACTAAAATACAAGGAAAAACAAAATCACTCCAGAAATGAAGATTATACTAGAAGAAATGAAAAAACAAGTAAGTATACCTTAAGAAAAAAAAGTCAAAAAGAAGAAAAATTTTTTAAATTGAAAAAAAATTAAAATATGATAAGGATTTTGGAGAAAATAACATATGAAAGAAAGGCAAAGCCCCAACAAGCATAGAACAGGAATTCTGGAAGAAGGAAACCAAAGCAAGAAAACAGAACACATATTAAGAACTATACTTAAAGAAAATATTGTTTAAAATTATTTTTGAAATAGCATTCATCAGAGGATACACTATACCTGATGAATGAGCAATACCAAGATCGATCTATCTATCTATCTACCTTCCTACCTACTGATCGATCAATCTATCTATCTATCTATCTATCTATCTATCTATCTATCTATCTATGTATTTTAGTTTTGAGGATGGAACCTAGGCATGTTAAGCACAAGCTCTACCACTGAGCAATACTCCTAGACCCTTTAAAGAAAAAAAGCTGGGGGGCATCCAGGCAAAAAGATAGTTACCTATACAAGGAAAAACAATAAGACTGTCATTTGGATTTGTCCAGCAGTGCTTTATTCCAGAGATAGATGAGGTAATGTATTTAAGAAACTCAAGAAAACAAACTGCACTAGTGATTGTATATCCAACCAACTGATTTTCAAGTATAGTGTCTACAAACTTTTCAACATTTAAAAATATTGCTCTCATTAGCCCTTTCTGAAGAGTTTATCAGAGAATAAGTTTTAGATATCTGAAATGACTAGAGAGGGGAAGAGTGGGTAGAGGCAGAGGTGACGCAGCTATTTTTCCACTGAGTGCATAAATCTGACACTAAAGATTTCAAATTTGGTTGATAATCTGAATTGTTGGACCAGCTCTGATCTGCCCACTTCTGGAATTTATGTCATGTTAGAAAAATAAAATCCACTTTGCTTTTTTAAAAATTATACTGTAGAAGAGTATTTAATGACATAGAAAACTTTATGATATAATAAGTAGGCTGAAGGAAATCTGTACCCCCTCCTACTGTCTCCCCACATTATAAGGAAAAGCCTGGGTAAGAATTTTAGCTGTTTTGCTCCAATACTAAATCCCAGTCTCCTAAATATTGGCTGGCAGCACAAAGTTTGTGGATGTAAATAACCAGGTTTCAGGGTTTTAAAGATACCTTTTTAAAAAAATTTTTTTTGTAGTTGGACACAATAACTTTATTTTATTTATTTATTTATTTTATATGGTGCTGAGGATTGAACCCGGGGCCTTGCACGTGTGAGGCGAGTGCTCTACTGCTGAGCCACAACTCCAGCCCCTTAAAGATACCTTAATAAAAATCCTACCAAAAAAATAGTGAAAAGGGCAAATTATAAAATAGAATGGTCTCATTTTCTAAGGAGAACCAGTTTAACTATAAACACCAAAATTTCAACAGCAGTTTTCTCTACATAATAGGGTGATTTAAATTTTAGGGGAAGGATATGTTTTTGTATTTTTCTTGTCATCCTGACACAGGAATGAAACCATGCCATAATAAAATTTCTCTGGTATTGAGGTCCAAACTGGATTAGAAAATATGGAATTTTAGCTGGGCATAGTGGTGCCTGCTGTTATCTCAGCTACTTGGGAGGCTGAGACAGGTAGATTCCAAGTTCAAGGCCAGCCTGAACCACTTATTGAGATCCTGTCTCAAAAAAAAAAAAAAGTCGTTGAGGGTGGGGTAGGGTGGTGACTGGAGATGTAGCTCAGTGATTGAGGGGTTGAGCCCAGGTTCAAAAAGACAAAAGGAAGTATGGACTTTTATGTTGAAGCAAGTTGTGTTACTGCAACTCTTTAACATGCTCAGCAAAATCTACAGAATTAGAACTATGGTTAAAAAGACATAATTGTATTTTTTACTTTTGCAACATTCTCATATTAAGGAAACACTGACTATGGACTTGTCTTTTCTGGACAGTCCAGTATTAAGATCAGCAGTAGTTTGAAGGTTAAAAAAATTAATTAATTAATTAATCTCAGGTAGGTAACTGAATCCAAATTTGATTTGAAATGGAAATCAAAAGCCCTACAAAAATTCTAAAAAAAACCCCTTTTTCAGTTTTAGAAATTAAAAACTATGTTTTAAATTTTATTTTAAGTAATAAGTAGAAAACATACCAATGAGCCAAATCCTAGGGTCCAAAAATGTTCATTTCGGACTTCTAAAACTCCATCCAAGGTAGAAACCTAATCAAAAACAGAAATAGGTTATGAGAGTTATCTGCATTTGACATATGAAACACATTTCAGTCGCATTATGGACGTAATTTAAGCTTAGAATATTATGGTGAGCCCTGCACAAGGACACTCAGCCAAGAGAAGTACTAGGCCACCCAAGACACTTCTTTTTTTTTTTTTTTTTGCACCAGGAATTGAACCCAGGGACACTTAACCACTGAGCCATATTCCAAGCTCTTTTTTATATTTGATTTTGAGAATATAATTTTCTCACTAAGCTGCTTAGGGCCTCACTAAGTTATTGAGGCTGGCTTTGAACTCACAACCCTCCTGCTTAGCCTCCCAAGTTACTGGGATCACAGGCATGCACCACTGTACCCAGTAAGACACCATTCTTTTTTTTTGGTACAGGGGATTGAACTCAGCGGCACCCAACCACTGAGCCACATCCCCAGCCCAATTTTGTATTTTATTTAAAGACAGGGTTTCATTGAGTTGCTTAGCATCTCACTTTTGCTGAGGCTGGCTTTGAACTCACGATCTTCTGCCTCAGCCTCCGGAGCCGCTGAGATTACAGGTGTACGCCACCTCGCCCGGCAAGATAAACATTCTTGATTGCATAGTACTGCCCCAATCCTTCTAGAGTCAAATCATGACTACTAAGTCTTACTCTCCCCTCACTTCAATAGCATATGCTTCTTTTAATTATACCTACATGGCACATATTTATATTTAGCAGTTGTGTATTAGTTTTTTTTTTTATCTTCTCAATCATTCCTTCCCTGGATTTCCTTATAACAAATCTCCGTACAACACAAAATATTATTTGAATGTGGGCTGTCAGGAAATTCCAAGGCCAGACATAAAATGTGTGGCTTATAAGTACAGTAGCACAGAAGGCATATCCAGTGTCAATTTCACAAGCTGAGACATGTGGACAGCTATGTTGGAAGAAGTGACCTTTGTGATACCAACAACCAGGAGTTTGAATAGTACCAAGATAATTCACCTATCTTATGTCTTTATTAGGAAGCAGGCTGAAATTTATAACAATAAAAAGTCTAAAGTCTAGATCAAGATGTCAGGTGAAGTAATTAACAGGTAAAAGTAGACTCTGTGTTTACAAAATTCTAGATTTGAATACAGAGTCAGAAAAAAATCACAGCATTTATAAAATTAATCAGGTGGTCTTTAGATCATTACCTTCCACACTTATTTAAAGTGAATTTGTCTTCCATACTGAGCAACTCCTCAATTTATTTTCCATTTTTGCTACTATGTTCTGACTCTGTTACTATAAAGAACATAAACTCTCCTAGAGTAAGATTTAGGTAGGTTTCAATAAAATATTGTATGTACCCACCCTTTCAATTCCTAACATAAATTAAAATGATTTTATTTATCATTCCATCTTACCTCTCTGATAAGTTTATCCAACTGACCAATAACATGGGGTGGTGTTGTCTGGGGGAAAAAATAAAATATGAATAGCCTATGGAGAAAAATAATTTTGTAACCATGGTCCTGAAATCCCTCCAAATGGATTTTTTTAAACTTAATTAGCATATCCATCACCTCATAGCTTTTTTTTTAAATCTTATTTTGATATCTTTATTTATTTATTTTTATGTGGTGCTGAGGATGGAACACCAGTGCCTCACACATGCTAGGCAAGCGCTCTTCCACTGAACTACAGCCCCAGCCCCCTCCACATGAATTTTAAACCCATCTTTGGTTTTCACATGTGCCCTATCGTGATTTAGAAAAGTAAGGTTTCAACTGGCTCACTAATAGAACAACATCACTAATTGGTCCATACTCATAATGTTATCTCACAAAGAAGAGAAGCTGCTACTGCTAGAACCAAATAAAGCTCAAAGAACCAACCAAGCAATAAAAAGTCTTCAAGAAATGGTTTGAAAAGTAACATTTTGTAAGTGCATAGGACTCTGCAATTCTTCTTCATCTTTTTTTTTTTTGGCACTGGGAATTGAACCCAAGGGCATTTTATCACTGATCTATATTCCCTGCCCTTTTTATTTATTTTGAGACAGTGTCTCACTAAGTTGCTTAGGGCCTTGTTAAGTTGCTGAAGCTGGCCTTGGACCTGAAATCTTTCTGCATGAGTCACTGATATTACAGGTGTGCACCATCATGCCTGGCTTAACTTTAAAATTGTGATCCTCTTGCCTAGGCTCTCAATTTGCTAGGAGTACAGCTGTGTCTGGCTTATCCTATTGTTATTACCGCTTTTAGAGATGGAGTGACTGCCCATAAATTTAAAAAGAAAAAGACATGAAGGTAAGAGACAGAAGGAAGAGCATTGCTTACATACCTATCTAGCCCTAAGAAACTGTTCACCTTTCTAGTCTGGGTCTTGTTTAATGTGTTTCTACTGTTTTAAAAAGTAGAAATTCATCATATTTACATCTGAAATTTACATCTCAATGAGCCAAAGACAGGAAATAAGAAAAAAAATCATAACCAGATTATAACAGCTAAGACCTATTTACTGAGGGGAAAAAAGATAACCCCCAATTTTTTTTTAAGGAAACATTACCCAAGGCAAATAATTTTAAGTTCATGATTGCATGTCACAGAAGCACAGGAGGATTTGTGCCTACTTTATGGACTGATGAAATCCCACCTGGTTCTTACTATATGGATTTCAGAAAGTATTGTTTGACTTAATTGCTAACAGAGCCCTCTAGTTAATAAAATTTTCATAATAAATCATTTTTTTCCTATAAAATTTTTAGCAACCAGAGTTTCAATTGGTAGAACATGGGTAAACATGCATATTCCAAGAACCTTACCTGGAGTAGCACTTTTCCACTGTACACGCTCATGGGATACATGGTACCGAATGTCATCAGGGCAATGGCTATTGCAGACGCGGTGTCCACAGCAAAGTAATTACTAAAAAGAAAAAAAATTCCAAATCTTAAATGTATGCTTCACTAGGCATCTCACAATTCAATCTACTGACCACTAATTATTTAAGGCAAGAGGATCTTTCTTATCACAAATGGCCCCTACTGACAAAGGAGCACCTTAAAGGAGAAAAAAAGTTTCTATCTAAAGTCCCTTCCTGTTAAATTACAGCAGAAAAACAACTAATAATTGTGCTAATTCATGCGGAGAAAGGATAAGAAAAAATGTAAGCATTTACTCACTACATATATTTCAATCTACTTGTCAACTAGAAAGATTTCAAATATATTTGCTTGAGATACACAAATAAAAAACTTCAACTAGTAATTTCTGATACAGAGAGACTAATGGAGTTCATCAATGATTCTATTAATTTTCCTGTAAATAATAATTGTTTTGATAAAAAATTTTCAAAATTCTCGGGAGTCTGTTATAGCAACGCTGTGGATAAAGAACAACATCTTATGAACAATTCAGACTTTGTTGAAATTCTATTAAGAAGACAAACGAAATGTCAATGGTTACAAGATGGTCTTGTCCTTTTAACTTTTTGCTATATGCTGGGACTAGAAACACAAATAAGGCATCTCCACCTTAGAAAGAGCAGGAATATACATATGAAAAACATGAAGTACTTTGTGTAGTAAAATAAAAGTTTCTACATGGTGTCATGGATGTTCAAAGGAGTGAATGATGCAGCTACTGGGTGGGGATGATCCAGAAAGTCTAATTATGAAAAAAGAGGTAAGTCTTCAAAGACAAGTAAAATAAGCAGGGGGAAGACATTCAAAACAGTAAAAGCAGCATATGAAAGAGCATTAAAACCCTGATACAGCAATGAAACCACGAACAATGTGGTATAGGCAGATGGGTGGCTAGATAGGTTGGCAGGGGCTTGCCTGTATAGGACTCCATGCTAACAACTTTAAAATTAAAAAAAAAAAAAAAAAACTTGTGGTGGTGCTGGGGATGGAATCATACTCTACTATTGAGCTACATCCCCAGCCCTTTTTCCTCTTTTTATTTTGAGACAGGGTTCTGCTAAGTTACCCAGGCTGGCTTTTATGATCCTCCTACCTCATTCCCAGAGTTGTTGGGTTTATAGGTGTGTAGCACTGTTCCTGGTAACAACTTTGAATTTTTACCAATATACAAAGGAGAGGGGTTTAAGGTGGAAAAACACTATGTCTAGATTAGCAATTCTGAATAATCATGTTAGTAGTAAAATAGACAATACAGGTGATGGATGAGAATTAAAATTAGAAGTCTAGAAGACTGTAACTTCATATCATGTACAATCACAAAAATGCAAAGTTATACTTCATGTATGTGTGATTTGTCAAAATACATTCTATTGTTATGTATAACTCAAAAGAACAAATTTAAAAAAAAAGAAGTTTAGAAGAGTATTCTAATTAATTCAAGGTAATGATGACAAAGGCCTTAACTGGGTCAGGAATAGGAAAGAGAAGACGGTAAAAAATAAAGAAAAGACTAAATAGGACTTGGATACCAATTAGAATTTATTTGGCGAAGAGGGAAAGGGGAGAAGGGAAGAAAAGCAGGTATTTGAGAATGCATTGGACTGGGTGAAGTGGTACATGCCTGTAATCCCAGCTACTTGGGAGGCTAAGGCAGGAGGATCACAAGTTTGAGGTTAGCCTTGGCAATTAAGCAAGACTCCGTCTTACAAAATAAATAATAAATAAATAAAAAGGGCAGAAGATGTACTGAGAATTCACCTAGTACCACAAAAAAACATAAAACAAACAAACAAAAAACCCCCAATATATTGGACTTCCTTGAAAAAATTAAATATAGAAATACCATGTGATCCAGCAATTCCATTTCTGAGTATATACTCCCAAGAATTCCTATGTTCATAGTGGCATTATTTATAGTAGCCAAAAAAAATAGAAATAACCCAAATGTCCACTGATGGATGAATGAGGAAAACAAAATGTGGTATGCACATCAAAATGTTATTCAGACTTAAAAGGGAGGAAATTCTGACACATGCTACAACATGAATGAACCTTAAAAACATTATACTGTGTAAAATATGTCATTTACAAAAAGACAAATACTGAATGATTCTATCTATATGAGGGAGGTAGTTAAGAGTAATCAAAATCAGAAACACAAACTAGAATGGTGGTTGCCAGGGACAGTGGGTAGGGGAAGACTGAAGTTATTGTTTAATGGACACACTTTCAGTGAAGGGATGATGAAAAAGTTCTGGAGATGGACAGTTGTGATGACTGCAGAAAAATATGAATGTACTTAAAGCCACTGAACCATATATTGCATTATATGTTGCATTATATTGTTATGCATTATGTTGTGCATCTTTTAACACAATTTTTTAAAAAAGAATCTATTGGAATAGAAGATAATAGTATTCACTGAGGGTGGGAAATAAAAGAAAAAGCAGCTTCAGCAACAGGTGAAACCAGTGAGGCAGACATGAACAGAAGCCAGGAAGATAAGCCTACTGGAATTCAATGGTGATCTAGGCTAGAAATAAAGATCTTGAAATCCTTGGAGGTAATAAATAAAAATAAGTAATTGTATATCAGCTTTAGGAGAGCATAAAAACAAGAATAATACAATTCAGGAAAGATTCTAATAAACACCAATATTTAAAGGGCAAAAGAATCAAAGAATTATGTCAAAATGTTAAAAGAGCCATAATATCTATTTCCTAAAAGGCTTTAAAAAAAAAATTGCTTCACACCTACTTCCTCTTCTCCCTCTCTCAGCAATAGCAGCTGTAGCTTAGATCTCTCTTACTGTCCTCTTCTGTTCACTCATCAGGTCAGCAGTGGGGAATTTAAATCGTTTTCCAGTCTGCATTATAGATTGTTGTGAGAAATACTTATTGAGCCCAATTCCCTTAATTTTTCAGATGAAGACACTTGATGACAAGACTTGACCATAGTTACATAGGTCATTAGCAAAAATGCTAGAAACCTGACTCCAATCCATCCTGCAGATGCTCTTAAATGCCAGGCCCTAGGAATCTAAACACTTGATGGCAATAAAAAAAAAAATACTTACTTAATTTCAATTAGCATGTATGTAATACAAAGAGCAAATGCTCCAGCAAGATCAATCAAAACAAATGGATTCATTCGGGGAAGGAAGATACTGCTAAGTCCCGGAATAATTCCACACAAGCTATGAAAAAACAGAGTATTCATTAGCAAAATTCATATAATACTGATGAAAACCTTGTAAAAAATAACTTGTATTTTATGATATTTCTTCAGGGAGGGTACTGGGGTGCTTCAGCACTGAACTACATTACATCTCCAGTCCTTTTTATTTTATTGAGACACAGTCTTACAAGGTTGCTGAGGGTTCTGCTAAGTTGCTAAGGCTGGCCTCAAACTTGTGATCCTCTGGCCTCACCCTCCTGAGTCCCTGGGATTATAAGCATACACCACTGTACCCAGACTGATAACTTATATTTTAGTTCAAATAATATACCTCGTAAAGAAAACACAAAGGATTTGGAAACAAAACTTCTATATAATCAAATAAAAAGAAAAGGGAGAATAAGAATCAAATATGTGAGATTCATGCTCTAATCTCAGCAACAAATAAAGTCCCCATGACAGATGTATTTCTTTTTTTAATATATATATATATTTATTTATTTATTTATTTATTTTAGTTTTAGGTGGACACAATATCTTTATTTTACATTTATGACGTGCTGAGGATGGAACCTAGTGCCTCACACATGCTAGGCAAGCACTCTACCACTGAGCCACAACCCCAGCCCTGATAGATGCATTTCTTGTGAATATTTAAAAAATTATGGATATCATGAAACTTGATGCCATCTTACCTTCGACTAAGATCTGCAACATGCTCTTGAAGCCAACTTGTACTAGCAGCTTTAAGAAGAAAATACTTGTTATCTATATAGAAGAATAAACTGCTTCTAGAAATACTTTTTATCCTTTTAAAAGTAAGTTCAACAGTGACTGCATAAAATTACAAAAGAAAATCCTACTCCCCAAATTTATGGGAAACTGCATTTCCACCTAGTGAAAATAAAACGTAGATAACCTTTTTAGAAGTAAATTTGGTTATATGTATCAAAGCCTTTTAAAAAAATTATGAACTAGGGGTGTAGCTTAGTGATAGAGTGCTTGTGAGGCATGCACAAGGCCCTGAGTTCAATTTCCAGAACTGTTAAAAAATTTTTTATTTTTAATCTAGTTCAACTTCTTTGGGAATTTATCTTAAAGGAAAAAATAGAAATGCAGTCCAGGAATACGATATAGAAAGGTGATTACAGAATTATTTATAAAATGAAAATTAGGAGATAGAATACTATGCAAGTACTCAAAAATCACTTGTTTAAAGAGTATTTAATGAGATTCTGAAGACATACTGTTCTGACATAGTTACGCAATATTAAGATATAATTTTAATAAAAAAGCCAGGCATAAAATTGCAAATGAGTACAATTCTAAGTATGCAAAATAATTGTATGTGTACAAAGAGAAAAAGTGAAAGGAATAAAATAGAAATGTTAACAGATGTTATCTCTGAATATGAAATTGTGTACAATACAGTTTCATAACATGAGGCTGTTTAAACGTGAATGGGCATTTTCAGAAAACTTTTTTATTATTATTTTTTTTAGTTGCCAATGGGCTTAATTTTTTTTTATTTTATTATTATTTTTTTAACATTTATTTTTTTTATTGGTTGTTCAAAACATTACAAAGCTCTTGACATATCATATTTCATACATTAGATTCAAGTTGGTTATGAACTCCCAATTTTACCCCAAATACAGATTGCAGAATCACATCGGTTACACATCCACATTTTTACATAATGCCCTATTAGTAACTGTTGTATTCTGCTACCTTTCCTATCCTCTACTATCCCCCCTCCCCTCCCCTCCCATCTTCTCTCTCTACCCCATCTACTGTAATTCATTTCTCTCCTTGTTTATTTTCCCATTCCCCTCACAACCTCTTATATGTAATTTTGTATAACAATGAGGGTCTCCCTCCATTACCATGCAATTTCCCTTTTCTCTCCCTTTCCCTCCCACCTCATGTATCTGTTTAATGTTAATCTTTTCTTCCTGCTCTTCCTCCCTGCTCTGTTCTTAGTTGCTCTCATTATATCAAAGAAGACATTTGGTATTTGTTTTTTAGGGACTGGCTAGCTTCACTAAGCATAATCTGGCTTAATTTATTTATATGTGGTACTGAGAATCAAATTCAATGCCTCACACATGCTAGGCAAGTGCTCTACCACAGCCACAACCCTTGCTGCTTTCTTTTCTTGATTGTCCCATTGTTTAAGTTAGAAAGACCTAAAAAAACTCTTGTCTATATCTACTTCTGCATGCTTCAAAGTGTGGGTTTTTTTTTTTTTTGGTCCCCAGACCCTCTTATTTTGAGACAGGGTCTCACTAAGTTGCATAGGGCCTCAAAAAGTTGCTGAGGCTGGCATGGAACTTGTGATCCTCCTGTCTCAGCCTCCTGAGACCCTAGCATACAGGTGTATGCCAAAGCACTTTTTTTCCCCCTCGTGCTGGGCATGGAACCCTGGATTTTGTGCATGTTAGACAAGTGCTCTACCACTGAGCTATACCTCCAGACCCACATATCTGCTTTTGTTTTGACCTCACTACATCACTTAGTGTTTAACACTACAGGTTAGTAGAATTTCAAGACTTGCAAAATTTTGAAAATTGCCAATAATTAGCACTACTAAAGTGAAAAACCAATCTGAACTTGTAAAAACTTCAAAATAAAAGAATATTTCAAAAGAAATAATTCTGTGCTACTTTGAAATATAAGTCAAAGGAAAATTCTTAGAACTTATTTCTTTACAAAATACAATTGTTTCCAATTAGCACACCAACTATTCTAAGTATAATGCTTCCTAAAAAGGCATACAACAGATTTTTCTTAGGTAGATTACACATCTAAAATCTCATAGTATTTGGTAAATGTAATTTTTCATCACATAACATTTAATACATACATCAGTTCTATTTTTAAATATACTTTATTTTAAAGCTTAAGCTACTGAGGTTTTGTGTTTTTCTTTTTAATTTTTTTTTTAGTTGTTGATGGACCTTTATTTTATTCATTTATTTATATGCGGTGCTGAGAATCAAACCCAGTGCCTCACACATGTGAGGCGAGTGCTCTACCACTGATTCACAACCCCAGCCCAAGATTTTGTTTGACGATTGTCTCCTTGAAGAAGACTTGAGAACCTTTGAGGTAATTCTCCCTTCTCTTCAGAATATACTTTCTTGTTGATTTAAGAGTTAATGAAACAAAGAAAAGACCTGTTTTAATGAGAAATTATTTGGATTTTTAAAATTAATAGTAAATAAAAAACATACCTTCAGAGACATAAGCAAATGGTTTATTCCGAATAGAAAGCATGGTGAACAGGTTGAAAGAAAGAGCCACAAAAGTACCAACTAATAATCTTCCCCTAAAAAGAACAACAGTAACATATTCACCTTTATTTTTCTTGGAAATATTAATTTACAATTTCAGAGTGTAGAAAGACTAAGAGAAGGCAAGATAAGAATAGTCTGCTTCAGTGGTTTGGTATTTCTGGAGCCAAAATCTGAATATGCCTACATAATCCATGTCCTGTCTACTATCTTACCTAGGACATAAAAGGAATCAGAAGTAACAATATCTTTTTTTAATTTTTAAAATTTTTTTGGTACTGGGGATTGAATTCAGAGGCACTCGACCACTGAGCCACCATCACCAGCCCTATTTTGTATTTTATTTGGAGACAGGGTTTCACTGAGTTGCTTAGCACCTCACTGTTACTGAGGCTGGCTTTGAACTCTCAATCCTTCTGCCTCAGCCTCCCAAGCTGCTGGAATTACAGGCGTGTGCTACCATGCCTGGCCCAACAATATATTTTTAAAATATAATTAATATTTATATAAGTATTATAATTTATATAAATACTAATGGTATTTGGTTTACAATACAATGGACAAATCAAACATTTGAATTAATTGATCAGAATAAGTAAGGCCCATACAGTTGGCAACTATATAGGTGATACAATATTTAGGTGGTCATATTTGAACTTACAGAAGACTAGAGAGAACTGGCTTAGTGTGCTGACTTGAATCTGTGAATAATAAAGGATTTGAAACCAAACAGACACACACACCTTCCTGCAGTATTAAAACATCTAGGGCTTGGGAAGAACAGGTCAAGGGTGAAAAGTAAGAGTCGTGGGATTTTGTTTTTGAAATGCCTGTGAAAATGTATATTGTCACACTCTAAACTACTGATACTAGATAATGTAACTGTTATTGAATAATACATCATTGTAATGAAACTTAGTAGTAGATTATATATATTATGTAAACAATAAAGTCTCACGTGTGGATCTCGGGCTGCTCCAAAAAGCGTTCTGCACTAAAAGAAAGAAAAATTTATTAAATAAGTCCTATAAATTATAGAACTAAAAAGCTACATTGAATATATAAGTAGTACACCTTAAAGTTCACAGAATCTTTTATTATTATTATTATTAGTAACAGTATTAGTAGTAGTACCTAGGGGCATTTAACCACATCTCCAGCCCTTTTTTAAAAACATTTTTTAAAATTTTGAATCATGTTTGTCTCAGGGCCTTGCTAAATTACTGAGGCTGGCTTTGAACTTGCAATCCTCCTGCCTCAGCCTCCCAAGTGACTGGGGATTATAGGTGTGCACCACCGTGCCCAGTTTCACAATCTTTTAACATTATCATCAACTATTGTGAGCAGTGTTGTAGCACAGAGACTCACAAATTATCCTTAATATGTAATGCCAATCTTTCTCTACCAATCCTGATTCAATAGGTTTGTAATAAACATCAAGAAATGTTTAACTAAGGTGGGGTGTGGCTCAGTGGTAGAATGCTTGCCTAGCATTCATGAGACACTGAGTTTGGTCCCAGCACCACATTAAAAAAAAAAAAAAGAAAAGAAAGAAAGAAATGTTTGACTAGCTGAGCATGGTGTTGCTTGGAAGACTGAGGCAGAAAGAGTGTGAGTTCAAACCACCCTCAGCAAAAGCAAGGAACTAAGCAACTGACCCTATCTCTAAAAAAAAAAAAAAAAAAAATAGGGCTAGGGATGTGGCTCAGTGGTCAAGTGCCCCTGAGCTCAATCCCAAGTATCCCTTCCCCTCAAAAAAGAAATGTTTGACTGAATCTCTTTCTCACCATGACTGAATTTAGTAACAATAAAGAAATACAGAAACTAAGGGAAAAACAATGGAAAAAAGTCTCAAAGAAGAAGAAATTGTAGTATTAAGCACTTCTAGAACTTCTTGTCTTAATTTGCATATCCTTCAAACTAAATGTGTCTCAATGGATTCTTTCATGTTCTCAAAGGTGACATAGGTAGGATTTAGAATAACATACAACCAGCTCAGTGGTACATGCTTATAATTCCAATAACTCAAGAGGCTGAAGCAGGAGGACTGAAAGTTCAAGGTCAGCCTCAACAACTTTGTGAGATCCTGTCTTAAAAATAAAAAAACTAGGAGTACAGTTTGGTGGTAGAGTGCCCCTGGGTTCAATCCTCAGTACCAGGAAAAAAAGTAACATATTATACAAATGTACCTTTCTTTTAAAATAAAGAGGGCTCCCAACTGTGCCAAGACTGTGGAGGCAAATACAGCAAGGACTTCTAATCTTTCAAACCTGAAATCAGAAAATTAAAATTTTCCACTCACAAACCAGTTTATGTAGAACACATTTATACTAATTTATTCACTCATTAATATACATATGTGCAGTCTCTTATTAGTCAGACAATGTTAGAACAGAAGGATAACAAACAATGAAAATTAAATATAAAAATTTAAAAAGAATACAACATATATTATCAGGCCCCACTTATGGCCCTTATTTCTCTAGAATTAACCATTATTATAATAATAGCCAACACTCAATTGACCTATCTTATGTTAGACTTTATCAGTGTCTAACCTATTTCTTCACCTAAACTTATAAGTAATTATGAGAATTACTCTACCCCCTTCTTCTTTTCCTGAAAATATAGGAGCTTGGAACTTAAAAGGGAAAATAACTGTTCAAAGTTATATACTTAGCAAGTGGAAAAATAAGATTTTCAAACTCAGGCACTCTGCTTTCAGAGTTCATGATTTTAAGTATCTCTCATTTTTATACATAATTATAATCCACTATAAATATCCTTTATATATATATATAAATAATATCCCTGGACTATAAATCGGAGGTCAGGGGTGATTGTTTTATTCATCTTAATTCTTCCATAACACAAAGATTAATCATACCCAATAATTGTGGTAAGTAAATGCTTAAGATTTCGTAAGGAAATAATCATGGAGGTTCATAAAAGAATAATATAATTAAGGATCTTCATTATGTTGCTGTCTGTAAGGGGAAAATGTTGGAATCAACAATATAACAGTATACATTATTAAAAACATAACAGAGCTTGGGACTGGGGTTATAGCTCAGCATTAGAGTGCTCGCCTTGCACACGTGAGGCACTGGGTTCAATCCTCAGCACCACATAAAAAAATAAATAAATAAAGATATCGCATCCATTTTTTAAAAAATATTTTTTAGTTGCATGGACGCAGCATCTTTATTTTGTTGATTTGCTTTTACGTGGTCCTGGGGATCTAACTCAGTGCCTCATACGTGGGAGGCCAGTGCTTTACCGCTGAGCCACACCCCAGCCACCTATTGCATCCATCTTTTAAAAAAATCTTAAAAAAAAAAAAATAACAGAGCATGGCACAGTGGCACATGCCTGTAATCACAGTGACTCATGAAGCTGAGGCAGGAGAAACCCAAGTTCGAGGCCAGCCTCAGCAACTGAGTGAGACCCTCAGCATCTTGGTGAGACCCTGTCTCAAAATAAAGAATGAAAAGGGCTTGGGATGTAGCTCAGTGATAAGGCTCCCCTAGGTTCAATGTCCAGTGCCTGAAGAAAAAATAAAATAAAACAAAACAAAACAAAACTCAGAAGTGTATTTATTGACATGGTCAGGTAAAAGTGAAAAAAGTAGGTCATAAAAAAATACAAAAATAAGTAAATGCAACAATGTTATGTGCAAAGATTGATAAGCTGATGTTAAAATCCATATGGAAATGCATTTTAAAATTTTAACATCACCATTTTAATATCAAGAGAGACACAATCTTGAAGAACAAAATTGCAAGATGTATACTACCACATATCAAGACCTACTTTAAAGTTATAGAATTAACATAGTATGGGAAAGAGAATCCAGAAATAGACCCATACATATACAGTCAACTGATTTATGAAAAAGAAGCACACAGAAGTAAAGGTGTTTTCCTTTATTAAATAGTGATGCATCAATTGAATATCTATATAAAAACAAACATGCCTTGACCCCTGCCCCATAGCATACTCAAAAATCAACTCCAGTTAGACTATAAGCTTAAATATGACAGGTCAAACAATAAGACTTCTCTGGCTAGGGTTGTGGTTTAGTGGCAGAGTGCTTGCCTAGCAATGTGTGAAGCACTGGGTTTGATTCTCAGCACTGCATATTAGTAAATAAAATGAAGGCCTATTGATAACTAAAAAAAAAAAAATACTGAAAACAACAACAATAAGACTTCTCTACCTGATAGCAGAGCAGAGTATCTTTGACCTTGAGGAAGGTCAGGATTTCTGAACAGGTACATGAAATGTACTAACCACAAAAGAACAAAAGAAAAGAAAAAAACCGACAAATTGAACTCATCATTGAGATTAAAAAAATTACATTTATGATAAGAAACTATTATGAAAAAGAAGATATTTATATATAAAGTAGATTGACTCTTATAGTTCAATAAGAAAAAGGCAAAACAGTTAAAAGACTTTAGCTAACATTTCACAGAAGAAGAAATCTGAATGATTAATAGACATATTAAAACATACTCTATCATCAGGAAATAATTTAAAACCACAATGCAATACCATTGCATATGCCAAAGTGGCCTTAAACAAAATGACAACTGTTAGTGAAACACTTAAAACACAGCCAATGGGAGTAAAAATTGGTGAAACTATTCTAGAAAATTATCTTTTAATAATGAGCATATGCAATCTTGACTAATTTGAAAGATACATACTCAACATAAAACGAGTACACAGGTTTACCAAAAGAAATGTCCAAGTATGTTTGTTTGTAATTTTATTTATAATAGCTGAAAGCTGAAAATCATCCTAATGCCTTTCAATAGTTAACCTGTCATATATTAATACAATGAAATGTTAGAGCAATGAATAAGAATGAACTACTACTATGTGAGATGCCATCTATATGATGTTTAGCAATATGCAAAATTAATCTGTACTGACAAAAATCAGAAAATTGTATACTTTTGGCATACGAATGAAATTATGATATTTTCTAGTAAATGGATGAAACTGGAGGCCGTCATGTTAAGTGTGATAAGCCAATTCCAAAAAATCAAAGGCCAAATGTTCTCTCTGATATGAGAATGCTGACTCACAATGGGGGTGAGAGTGGAGGTTCACCAGATTGGGGGGTGTGGAATGGGGGAAAGTGAGTGGGGATGGGAATGAGAATGACAGCAGAATGAATTGGACATAACTTTCCTATGTTCATAATATATTCAGGGTAACTCCACATCATGTACAACCATAAGAATGAGGAGTTATAATCCATGTATGTGTGATATGTCAAAATACATTCTACTGTCATGTACAACTAAAAAGAATAAATAAAAAATGTTAAAAAAAGAAAAAATTTGCATAATTTTGATAGGGTCTGATTTTCAGAGAATTTGGGAGAACTTGCAATATTTTATGTAATGATTTAGATAGAAGCTTTACAGTTATATTTATTTTTTGAAATTCATCAAAGTGCACAAGGATATGAGGAAACAAGATAGGGTCCCTATTTCTATGAAACTTATAATTTAAAGAGGGAGAAAGAAAAACAAATAATTTATTTGATAAATTCTGTACTGAGAATTATAGTAGTCTGATGTGACACAAGGCTAACTAGGTGGCTATTTGAGATTGTGTCATCCAATCACTTATGATAATTTGTGATCTGAATTACAAGATGGAGACAGTTCTCTGTGCTTTGGTGCATCCCTGTAATCTCAGCAACTCAAGAAGCTGAGGTAGGAGGATCACAAATTCAATCCTGTATCAAAATCAAAATGAAAAAGGGCTTGGGATGGATTCAAACTGAAAAGCTTCTTCTCAGCAAAAGAAACAATCAGTAACGTGAATAGAAAGCCTACAGAATAGGAGCAAGTTTTTATCACATGCACATCAGATCAAGCACAAATCTCCAAGATTTATAAAGAAATCAAAAAACTTCATACCAAAAAACCATACAACCCAATCAATAAATGGGCTAAGGAATTGAATGGACACTTCTCAGAAGATATACAATCAATCAACAAATATATGAAAAAATGTTCAACATCTCCAGCAATTACAGAAGTGCAAATCAAAACTACTCTAAGATTTCATCTCACTCCAGTCAGAATGGCAGTTATTAAGAATATAAGGGTGTCAACCTAGTTTATATACAAACAGAGATATGAAACATTGTGGTATATATGTGTAATAAGAATTGTAATGGAAAAAAAAGTACATGTATAAAGACATGAATTGGCATGAACAAACTTTATATACAAAGATATGAAAAACTGTGCTCTATATGTGTAATAAGAATTATAATGCATTCCACTGTCGTGTATTTAAAAAAAATAAAATCAATTAAAAAAAAAGAATGTAAGCAACAATAAGTGTTGGCAAGGATGTGGGGGAAAAGGCACACTCTTACATTGCTTGTGGGACTGCAAACTAGTGTAACCAATCTGGAAAGCAGTATGGAGATTCCACAGAAAACTTGGAATGGAACCACCATTTGACCCAGCTATCCCACTCCTCAGTTTACACCCAAAGAACTTAAAAACAGCATAACAGTGATGCATCCACATCAATGTTTATAGCAGCACAATTTAAAATAGCTAAATTGTGGAAGCAACCTAGATACCCCTCAATAGATGAATGGATAAGGAAACTGTAATACACACACACACACACACACACACACAATGGAATATTACTCAGCATTAAAAGAGAATAAAATCATGGCATTTGCAGGTAAAGCATGGAGTTGGAGAATATCATGCTAAGTAAAGTAAGCCAATCCCCAAAAAACAAGCACCGAATGTTTTCTCTGATAAGTGGATACTGATCCATAATGGCAGGTTGGGGAGAGCATGGAATAAATGGAGGAATTTTGGATAGGGCAAAGGAGAGGATGGGGAAGGAAGGGTACACGGGGGTAGGAAAGTTGGTGGAATGACATGGACATCAAGACGCTAGGTAGATGTAAAAAGACACGAATGGTATGACTCTACTTTGTGTAGAACCAGAGAAAATGAAAATGTGTACAACCATTTGTATACAATGAATTGAAATGCATTCTGCTGTCATGTATAACAAATTAGAACAAATAAATAAATAATTTTTTTAAAAAAGGGCTGGGGATGTAGCTCAGTGGTAGAGCACCATTGGGCTGCTAAGGTACAGCATCCCCATTACTACCAAAAGAAAAAAAAAAAAAAATGGAGCCAGGCTTACAAAGATTAGGTAAAGAGCATCTTGCCACAGCTTGTACCAAGGTCTAACACAAGAATGAGTTACTTGTGTTCAAATAACACAAAGTAAGTCAGTGTGGTGTACAGGGCTTCAGAATGGTAAGTTGAAGAGAAGTAGGCAGAAGCCAGCTCATGTAAGGTTTTTGTAAATTAGGGAAAAGAATCAAGATATAATTCTGTGTATGATGGAAAAGAATTAGATAGTTCTAAGTAGGAGAGTGAGAGTATGATTTAAACCTTCTAATTGCTATATGGAGAACGAAATATTATTGAGGCAAGCTCAGAAGCATGGGGGACCAGTTAGGATGCCAGACATTAGTTAAGGAACGAAAGGAAGGTAGCTTGGTCTGGGATGATAGCAGTGGACACAGAAGTGGTTATGAGAGTTAATTCTGGGTATGTTTGTGGGTTATCTTGACATAATCTGCTGAGGGACAGATGTGGGTAATAAGAAAGAAAAAAATCTTAAAAAGTTTTTGTTTGAGAAAATGAGTGCTGGTGGCATGTTTTGGGAAGAAACTGAGAATTCTATCCTAAGTTTCTTTCTTTTTTTTTGCTTTTGCTTTTTTTTTTTGATACCAGGGATTCAACCCAGGGGTGCTTAACTACTGAGCCACATCTTTAGCCCTTTTTATATTTTATTAGAAACAGGGTCTTGCTGAGTTGCTTAGGGGCTCACTAAGTTGCTGAGGCTGGGTTTGAACTTGCGATCCTCTTGCCTCAGCCTCCCGAGTTGCTGGGAATACAGGTGTGCCCAACTGCACCCAGCTCTATGCTGAGTTTAAGACACCAATTAGACATCCATATGAAACTGTCAGAACTACCAACTCCAGGGAGTTTTAAGGCTGGAGAACTAGATTTTAGGGTGTCATTAAATACAGATAATACTCCAAGTATGTGATTGATAAAATAAAAATCCATCTTCACCAATGCATATTAATATATAATCACATTTACTTAAACGTCTAGAAGTTACATTTACATTAAAATCCTTCATACATTTTTTCCCTTCATACTTTCTCTAAAATAAGAGATTCTCAAATTATTAGAAAACTTAATGTGATCATTTTATGTTAATATTTTTATAAAATATAAAGATCTAAATATGAACATTTTATTTTAATAAGATCTATATTTTAAATATTCATGTTTCTTTCCTAGAATCCTCTTAGAGGACACTTTTCTATCTACTTTCACTATTTGGTCACCATATCAGTAAATAGGTAGCATTTATTTTCCATAAATACAAGAGCTTGCTCTTTAGTACATTATTATTTTATAGCAGAAAATAGAATAATTTGAACTTACCCAAATGAATAGACAGGGCTAGGTTTCCTCACCATTACCCAGTAACTTATTAAACATGTTATTAAACTAAATAAAAAGACAAAATTTAGCATTAGAACACTGGAGGAGAACACACAGAAATGAATTTTTTCCTAAGCTGCTGAAAGTGATCAATTCTGGCATAGATTAAATTAATAATAAATTATTCTAATAATTTATAATGTAATGACAATTGCTATAATCTAATAATTTATAATCCTAGTACATGGTATACCTAAATGATGAGTTTTAACATGTGAAAAAACTGAATAAAGTTTCAATTCACCATTAAGTTAAATAGAACTTAAACCCATGTTTTCTTTACACAATGTTATTTGCCCTAAATGGTTTCCAAAGCCAAGAACAATTTTAAAAAGATACAACAATAATAACGACAATATATTTCATTGTAGCATATACATTTTAACATTGATAAGCTCTGTTTAATTTTTATCAAAATTTAAAGTAAATATTAATAACATCTAGATGGAATAAAATTATATTTATTTTTCTAAGTATAGTGGAAATTCACTACAAAACTACTTTCTGTAGTGTGAAATTCAGGTCACCAATATCTGTTGTATATCTAATTAAGCAGGTTTAGTTACCTGATTAATATAAAGACATAATAACACTTCTATCATATGGATCTTGAAAGCATCTATGTCTAAGTATTTTATAATCCTCATACGGAAAACATAAAAGGTTTCATTAAGCAGATAGTCAACAGACTATCTCTGTAAGGAATATAATGATTCCTTACTTCTCTGTTATCAACTGTCTCTCATTTCTTTTCCCACTCATACAATGGGAACTTGTATGTTCTTATATGACCCTGCTCCCAGGCCACAGCTGACTCTTCCAAAAGACCTAAGTTCGATTAAAATCCTGCTCTAGAAAACTCTGAAATTGGAAATGCAGCATTCTAGGCTTAATATGGCTGCTTCTTGTACAATCAAAATGCAAATGTAAAAGTTGGGAGCAAAATTTGTATTTCTTTCTTTCTTTATTTTTTTGGGGGGTACTTTGGATTGAACTCAGGGGCACTCGACCACTGAGCCACATCCCCAATCCAATTTTGTATTTTATTTAGAGACAGGGTCTCTCTGAGTTGCTTAGTGCCTTGTTTTTTGCTGAGACTGGCTTTGAACTCACAATACTTCTGCCTCAGCCTCCGAGCTGCTGGGATTACAGTCTTGCGCCACCATGCCAAGCTAACATTTATATTTCTATTCCTGAATTTTGGAGCAGGGAAATAAGATCTACAGGAAAAAAGTAGTTCAAGGGAGTCCAGCAAAGAGAACCAGAGATGAAAGATGGAGAGGACAAGTTAGATTATCCAGACCTCTGTTCTCTGAGCCCAGCAAAACTTCTGTCCTCAGATTCCATGCAATGCCTCTAACACTCCTGAGATAGCTTCAGTGGGAATCTGATGCTTACAACTAAAAGGGTCCTGGCTAACTCCCCGAGTGTACTTCACATTCATCATCAAAGTTTTTATAGTAGGCTAACTTCATTTCAAATTCAATTAAGTACAAGAATTTGGTATTTACACTGAAGTTATAATGAAAATGTTTAATTTTGAATGGATAGATGGTTTTTGTGCTATTGGTAAATGCAGATGAAAATCCTCAATAATAGAAACCTAAAAAATTCATTGTGTGTTTCTGAATATTGATTTTTGAAAATTTTACCTTTAAAAAGTGAATGAAAATCTCTGACACCTTTCCTATAATTCAGTAATTTTAAGAAACAATTTAAAAATTTTAATAATCCTGAAATCAGGATAAGTTTTAGAATTTATGGTACCTCACCCAGTTGAACTGGAAGCCTTTTTCTTTTTCTTAAGGAAATAATTATGACATAAAATAATTATGTCTCATAATTATGTGTCATAATTGTTCAGATCTAAGATTTGATGAAATATAGCAATACTGATCTACTTTATTTCCCATTACTATAAATATCTACTATATCAATACCTATTCATTGATAAATCATTCAACGTTTAATTTTACTTATATGTATACATCAATTCTCAATAATCTCTATAGTTTAATAACATCATCATAGTATTAATGTGCTCCATTAAAATGTCTATATTCCTATGTAAAACAATAACTTTTATTTACATTTAATACTCTAAAATCAGAAATTCATTTGTGTGTGTGTGTGTGTGTGTGTGTGTGTGTCTGAGACTTGTGAAGATCTAAATAAACCTAAATCACACCTCTTTTTGTCTCAAACACTATATATTGATAATTGAATTACATGGCAGATTACAGACTGCTAAAGAAAAAAAACTCACTGGATGCACTGGCACATGCCTGTAATCCCTGCAATTTAGGATGCTGAGGCAGGAGGATTGCAAGTTCAAGATCAGCTTCAGCAACTTAGCAAAGCCTAAGCAACTTAAGAGAGACCCTGTCTCAAAAGAAAAAAAAAAAAAAAGCCTGGGGATGTGGCTCAGTGGTAAAGTGCCCCTGCGTTCAACACCCAGTACTGCCCCCAACAAAAAAACCTCTACAGATTAAATGCAAAGAGTTAGGAGATGTTATCATTTTATTTTACTATTTATTACTATGACTTTACTACTTATTATTATCACTATACCTGGTAACAGTATTATTCTAAGTAATATTTTGAGCTGTGTTATTTTATATATATATATATATATATATATATTTTTTTTTTTTTTGGTGGCACTGGGGATTAAACTCAGGGCCTTGTGTAATATGCTAGGCAAGCACTCAACCAACTGAGCTATATCCCCAGCCATATATATATATATATTTTGTGTGTGTGTGTGTGGTACTGAGAATTTAACAGAGTACTCTACTGCTGGATTACATCCCAAGTCCTTTCTATTTACTTTATTATTTTTATTATCTCTGTACTGAGGATTCAACTTAGGGGTATTAACTACTGAGCCACATCCTAGCCCATTTTCAGATTTTATTTAGAGACAGAATCTCACTGAGTTTCTTAGGACCTCATTAAGTTACTGAGGCTGGCTTTAAACTCAGGAATCCTCCTGCCTCAGCCTCCCAAGCCACTACAATCACAGGCATGTGCCACCATGCCTAGCTTGCTTGCTTTATTTATTTATTTAGTGGTACTGGGTATTGAACCCAGGAGTGTTTCTACCTCTGAGCTACATTCCCAGAGCTTTTAAGAATTTTTGACATAAGGGGGCTGGGGCTGTAGTTCAGTGGTAGAGCACTTGCCTTGCATGTGTGAGGCAATGGGTTCGATCCTCAGCACCACATAAAAATAAATAAACAAAGCCATTGTGTCCATCTACAAGTAAAAAAAAAAAATTTAAAAAGGCAACTTACTAAAAAAAAAAAAAAATTTTTTTTCTGACATACAATCTTGCTAAATTGCTAGAATTAGAAGTATGTGCCACCATGCCTGGCTATTTAGATTCTAAACTTGTGCCTCTGCAACTAAGTCTTCCTCCTAGTAGGTATCAGTAAGTATCAGTTTCTTGTTTACCCTTCCCATGAATATTTATAAAAATATAAATAAATGAGTACAGTACACCATATAGTGAGCAACTTTTCATAAGAGCCAGTTATAGTTCTTTCCTTTTGTGAACTCTGTGTTTAAATGTTTTGTTTTCTTTATTCTACTAAACTGGTAAGCCCTTTAAGTATATCAGCAACATTAGTTTTTTTTCCGAGAAATATTTTCTCAGGTTGTTCTCTGCGGTAATATTTGCTACCTAGAATTTCAAAAAGGGGGGGGGGGAGAGGGGACAAAGGCATTGTAACACAGGGTTATGCTACTATGTAAGTATTACTTGAACACAGCACTGGCATACTGCAATAGATAGTTGATCTGATGCCTAGTGCATGCCCCAAACTGTGAATAGCATTGAACCCTGTGTTGCATATACTCTGATTTTTCTATAGGTACAAACCTATAATAAAGTTTAATTTATAGGGTCTGAGGTTGTGGCTCAGTGGTAGAGTGCTTGCTGTGTAGCATGTGTGAAGCACTGGGTTCAATTCTCAGCACCATATATAAATAAGGAAATAAAATAAAGGTCCATCAACAACTAATAAAAATCTATTTTTTAAAAGTTTAATTTATAAATTAAGTCTAGTAAGAGATATAACAATAAAATAGAATCATAATAATGTACTATAATAAGATTTATGTGAATGTGGCAAATATCTTACTGTACTGTACCCTTCTGTTTCTTGTGATGATGATGTGAGATGATACAATGCCTATATCATGAGATAAAGTGAGGTGAATGACAAAGGCATTGTAACACAGGGTTATGCTACTATGTAAGTATTACTTGAACACAGCACTGGCATACTGCAATAGATAGTTGATCTGATAACTGAGACAACTCCTAAATGACTCAATTGCTAAGTTGCTGAGATATGGACACACTGGAGAAAGGGATGATTCATATCATGGGTTGGATACAATGGGATAGTGCCAGATTTCAACACACTACCTAGAAAGATAAGCAATTTAAAACTTATGAATTTTTATTTCTGGAATTTTCCATTTAATATTTCTGGACTACAGTTGTCATGGATAACTGAAACTGCAGAAAGAGAATCCATAAATAAGGTGGGACTATAATAATCACTTGAATATGCTTGACTGGTTTAATCAATTTAGGGAGAATTTTTATAAGAATATGGTTTATTTTTTCAGGTCTTTTTTTTTTTTTTTTTTGAAAGCAGAATCATTTTAAAGTTTTCTTCACATAGAATGTGTAAGTTTATGTTTATGCCTGGATATTTATCTTTTCAATTAGTAAGTCAATGAAATATTTTCTTCTGTTATAATTCTTTAATATTAATTTGTACATATGGTCTACATTGATAATTTTACTTATTTCGTAAATTACTTTCCTTTAAGCAAAGAAAACTTCTTCATATATTCAATGCAGCAATTTTTGGCTATAAAACATTAAGGAGATGTTTTAAAAAACTTACCTAAAAAGATCAAAAATGGTCAGGTAAGTATAGGCTGTTAAAGCTGCAAAACAACAAAAAAACCCAATTAACATTTAATTAATGCTTAAGAAAATACAGAAAATCACCAAAATTGTTTATCAGTGATTATCTACTATGAAAAAAAAAAAAGCCTGGAGTCACTAGCAACCCTCATATATTTAAAAAAAAAAAAAAAAAAAAAAAATATATATATATATATATATATATATATATATATATATATATATATATTTCCAATAGGAAATTACGTAGTAAATCTGATTAATACATGTAACCAAGGTTGGTGAGCACAAAAGCTCATTTTAGAACCAGATTTCTGCATTGGAACAAATCAATCACCAAATACTCATAGTCACGTCACCATTTTTCTGCCTGCTTTTGTCATTTCAGTACTATTTTAAATGTATCTTTTAAATAGCATGAAGAAAATAATGATGCATCAAAACATCAGAGATCAAGACACAAGAAAAAATTACAGAATTTCATTTTTAAGGAAATGTCAACAAACCTCAAAATCTTACTTATAAATTATGTAAGGTTTTAATGTATTATCCTAAAAAGAACTCTGTTTCACAAATGTCCAGATTGAAAGGTGGTTTTTAAAACTAACAGCTCATTTAAAATGATAATGTCCTAGCAGGGGATGGTTGGGCACGCCTGTAATCCCAGCAACTGGGAGGCTAAGGCAGGAGGATTGCAGTTCAAAACCAGCCTAAGCAATTTAGCAAGACCCTGTCTCAAAATGAAAAATAAAGAGTTGGGGATGTGACTCAGTGGTTAAGTGCTCCTGGATTCAATCCCTGGTACCATAAAAAACAAACAAACAAACATATAATTTCCTAATATGTCAACAAAACTTTATGGTTCACAGGTCTGTTTTTAAAGCCATTAAAAAAAAAGGGGGGGGCTGGGGTTGGGTTGAGGCTCAGTGGTACAGTGCCCGCCTAGCATGCATGAGGCACTAGGTTTGATCCTCATCACCACATAAAAATAAAGATATCGTGTCCACCTAAAACTAAAAAATAAATTTTTTAAAAAACAAAGGAAAAATGTATTCTTTCATTTAAATCATTGAGTTATATACATTTCAGAAGAACATATTCTATGTAAAGGAAAATACACCTTTATTTAAAATCAGAAAAATAAAAATTAAACTAACTCCGTAAAAATAATGACGATGACATACCTATACTATTAGTAGAACTGCACCACATAAGCAGGAAGCCAGTACATATCAAGTTAACTGCACCAAAGAGTAGTATCTTCCAGGACTGTGGAAAGGAAAATCTTTGATTTGTACAGTGGTAATAATTTCACTGGGTCTGTTCATGTTGCTGTAATTCATACTCTGATATTCAAAAGAACAAGCATAACTTCCTTCAAAAAGTTCATGTTACATTTTCTACACAAAAATTATCATCAACAAAGTTGTTATATTATTATCATATACAAATCTAAAGGAATAATTCCTAAAGGGGAATTTTTTAAGAGAAAATATATTCTGGCACAGAAACTCTCAAATAGTTGAGAAAACTATGCATGTATATGTATATCATTTTTGTCTCTATAAATCTATATATACAGACAAGGATAAAGCAAATGGGGCAATGTAAATGATTGGTAAATCTAAAAAAAGGGAATAATGGCGTTCCTTATACTAATCTGGAAACTTTTATATACTTTGGAAATTATAGCAAAATGGGAAGTAATTTTTAAAAAAGGCAATGCTTGATAATTTCCCAAATAACTCACGTGAAACAGGACTGCAAAAAGGAAAAATTACAATGGCTCAGAAGTTCATACAACAGGGAGGCCCTGAACTATGCCCTGAAAACAGGACTCAGGGGAAGGAGGACTGTATTCCAAAAGTAAAGAAAGAAGAGATCAAGTGAAGTGTTTTCAACTTTTGTCCTACCCTACTTCATACAAAGAAGAGAAACCAATGCTTATTTCCAAGTAGAGGGCAAAGAAATTAAAAGAAAGCCCTTTGTTTGGAGGTATTGAAATTAAAGAGATTTAGCTGTAAAGGTCAAGTGTGTTGTGGGACAGGATGGTCTTAGAACTCAGATGGAAAAGTATAGGTTTAGAAAAGAACAATCCCTCTGAGGTGAGGAGATGACTGACAGAGAAATTATGAGGCTGAATGAAGAAATAGCACAGAGCTGGGAGTCCACAAATCTCTAGAAAAGATACAATACAAGAGAATTTTCCAAAATTAAGGGATATGGGAAAGCAGAACTGGAAATTTAAATCCAGAAGTAAATCTTCCAAAGAGTTATTCTGATGAACACACTACTGAATCATCAAAGATGATAACAACAATTACCTGCGTAGGTATATGACTATGGGTACAGCTTAGTGGTAGATCATGTGCTTAGCATGTACTTTGCATGTGCAGGGCCCTGGGTTTCATTCTAAGTGCACGTGCACACACACACACAAAATTAAAAAAAAAAAACAAGCATGAATTTTTTTTTGGGGGGAGGCGGGATACCAGGGATTGAACTCAGGGGCACTTGACTACTGAGCCACATCCCCAGCCCTATTTTGTCTCAGGGTCTCACAGAGTTGCTTAGCACCTCACTTTTGCTGAGGCTGGCTTTGAACTTGCAATCTTCCTGGCTCAGCCTCCAGAGCAATTGGAATTACAGGCGTGCAATACCACACCGGGCCCAGCAAGAATTTTTGGTAGACACTATTCTGTAACTTCTACAGCCAAGAACAGAAGCAGGGATGCAGGTGAGGTAGGGATGTTTCCATTTTAAGAAGTGATATGAGGCAAAAGACTCTAAAGCTAGTAAAGACTTTAATGAAATGATCAGACCTGGAGTCTAGTCAAGATAGGGATTCAAGAACAATCAGAAAAAGAGGATAATGTACACTAAAGCTGGGCATGATGGTACATGCCTGTAATTCCAGACACTTGGGAGACTTAAGGGAAGAGGATAATAAGTTTTAGGCCAGCCTTAGCAACACAGCAAGGCACTCAACAACTCAGCATGACCCTGTCTCGAATAAAAAATTAAAGGGCTGGGGGTGTAGTTTAGTTGTAGAATGCCCCTGAGCTCAATTCCCAGTCTTGGGAAAAAAAAGTTAAAAAAGAATGTACATTGAAAAATGACACTCTGTACTCTGTTGCTGGATCAAACTATTTATCCACCCAACAAATATCTCATTATCTTTTTTTTTTTTTTAAGATGGACAGCATGCCTTTATTTATTCATTTATTTTTATGTGGTGCTGAGGATTGAACCCAGCACCTCACACGTGCTAGGCAAACACTCTGCCACTGAGCTACAGCCTCAGGCCTCATTATCTATTCTGTGCCACAACTATTCTCGGAACTAAGAATGGATCAGTAAAAAAAAAAATACATACTTGATGCCGTTCCAGACTCCCTCTCACTCACTCTGCTCTAGCTATCCTCATCCAGGCCTCTTCTGCTCCAGGATATTTGCATTGCAGTTTCCATTTTCTCTTCCAGATATTTGCATGCTTATTGCCTTTGCCTTATTCAGATTTCTGTCCACATGTCAGTTTACCAAAAGGGTCTTTTCTGACCACTCTATCTGGAAGATAAATCTTTCCATATCTTCTATTACTATCTTCTTATCCTACTTTATGAACCCAGGTCTTTGCACATGCTAGCACTCTAACACTGAGTTCCATCCCCAACCCATTTTGTTAGTAGCATTATTTTTATATGTTGATGGACCTTTATTTTATTCATTTATTTATATGCGGTGCTGTGAATCGAATCCAGGGCCTTACACATGCAAATGCTTTACCACTGAGCCACAACTCCAGCCCTTATTATTATTTTTTTGAAACAGGGTCTCTCTAAGTCACCCAGACTGGCCTTGAACTTGTGTTCTTTCTGCTCAACCTCTTAAGTGGCTTGGTTTACAGGTGTGTGCCACCATTCGAAGCACTTTCTTTCTTCCTAGTACTTATCACTATCTGACCTTAATATATTTGTTTATTGTTTGTCACTCAAGCTAGATCACTTCTTTTCCTTTAGTTAAAAAAAGAGAAGCAAGGGAGCTGGAGTTGTGGCTCAGTAGTATAGCGCTTGCCTCTCGTTTGTGAGGGACTGGGTTCAATTCTCAGCACCACATATAAATAAGTGAATAAAATAAAGATCCATCAACAACTAAAAATATATTTAAAAAAACACAAGATAAACAGGCAAAAGGAAGATAACGGTGGTTTTGAAAGTTTCAGATTAGAAAAGAAAGAAATGGTATGAAATAGTCACCTAGGAAAGTGGGAAACTGAATGAACTAAGGAATTTTAGCATAAGCATCACTAATAGCCTGTTTGATCACGAATTCACAGTGACACAAGTAAGCAGAGTTTCATTTCTCTCAGGTTAGATTCAGTAGTTTAGATGTAGGTACACATTAGAATTTTCTAGGAAATATGATAGAATGGGGGCACAGAATATGATAATGATGGAGCACAGAATACCCTGGATAAGGAAGTGAATGAGGATAAGGGAGGTGAAAAACAGTGACGATTTGGTGAAGTCACAAAATTAAAGGTCATAGTAAAATCGCAGAATGACTGGAGTTTGGGTAATAAGAATAAACTGGAAAGATAGGTGCTGGTGATTGCTGGGTGAAATTCTTGAAATTGAGACAATAGGATACAGTTTTTATGAGTGATAAGGTTTCTACATGACCACAGCAGTGGACTCCTGGGAGTGACCAAGGGCGAGACTGATTATTCATGATGAAGAAGTAAGGAACTGAAGCAAGATGTGGTGGCACATGTCTGTAATTCCAGATACTTGGGAGGTTGAGAGAGAAGAAACAAAAGTTTAAGTCCATGTGTCTGAAAAAAATGAACAAAATAAAATAAAGTAAAGTAAAAAGGACTGAATATGTAGCTCAGTGGTAGAGTACTTGCTTAGCATGTGCAGGCCTTGGGGTCAATCCCTAGTACCACCAAAAGAGAGTGGTAGGCGGTAAGGAACTGAGATGGATCTTAAAACGTGAACCAACATTTATGAGCAGTGAAGAGATGAACCAAGGTATTTCTTAAGATTTAAATTTTTATAGAGAATATATGTACAGTTCAAGTGTTCCTATGTAATAGTCCCCTTATTATCTGTAGATGATATGTTCCCAGATCCCAGTAGATGACTGAAACTGTGGACAGAACTCTGTATAAACTATACACTATGTTTTGTTCTATATGTATATACCTACAAGTTTACTTAAAAATTAAGCAGAATATAAAAATAACAATAATATTAAAATGAACAATTTTCATAATATACCATACTAAAAATTATGTTGAGTGTGAAAATATCTTATTGTACTGTGTATCTTAGCAGCCTCAGCATATAATTTTTCTTTATTAAGATGAGAATTAGGGCTGGGGTCATGGCTCAGCAGTAGCGCACTTGCCTAGCATGCGTGAGGCACTGGGTTCGATTCTTAGCACCACATACGAATAAATAAAAAATAAAGGTCCATCAGCAACTAAAAAAATATTTAAAAAAAGATGAGAATTAGCAAATTCCATTTAAAGAAAGTTAGCAACTTCCATTTAAAGAAAGTACTATACTTTGGCATATACAAATTGCCAGCATCACTGTTCTTCTACTTTAGCATTATTTCAACACAAGCATTATAATAGCAATGTTGTGACAGTTGATCTGATAACCAAGGCAGCTAATAAGTGACTAACAGGTGGGTAGTATAAACTGGACAAAGCCATGACTCATGTCCCACAAGGAACAAAGTAGGAGAGTGTAAGATTCTGCTATGCTACTCAGAATGGCACACAATTGAAAACTTATGGATTATTTATTTCTGGAATTTTCCATTTAATATTTTTACAGTTGACCTCAGACAACTAAATCTGAATATAAGGGGGAAATATTATTTTTTGGTTTTGTTCCTATTACCTGTTCTATGGTTTATTGTACTTCAAAAAAGTGCATGGTTAGGACTGGGGCTGTGGCTCAATGGCAGAGCGCTTGCCTAGTATGTGCGAGGCCCTGGGTTCGATCCTTAGCATCATATACAAATAAAATAAAGGCATTCTATCCATCTACAACTACAAAAAAAAAATTTTTTTAAAAATGCTTGGTTAAAGAATGTCTCTTTACTTATATAATATAGCGGGTTTCTATCAGTATTACAGTGCTACATCCATCTGTTCTGAGAGATAATGCTAAATGAAATATATATCTAACAAACAGATAAATCCTCTATCATTGGCTCTTTAAATCTAACATTCAGGGGATGATAATATTTCCAAATGCTAGATTTATTGAGTTCTGACTATATTTCAAATTTTTAGGAATAGGAGATATAATGATAAATAACAAAAAAAGAAGCTTCTAGTCTAGTTCACAATTCAAGGGCACTATTCCTGGTACTCTTTATTACTGTGTTCCATGGAAACCAGCTTTAAAGCTCATTAACATTTATTGAGTGCTTGTTTGTGTATCTATAAAAAGGTGAGCAAAATAGACATAGTCACTGCCCTCAAAGAGCTTATAATTTAATATTGAAAAGAATGAAAACCAGAAGATCTACATATGATCAAGTAAGAGAGAAATTATCCTTTTATTTATAGTCTCAAAGCATGACACAGTTTCTTGCCTCATTAATTTTCCTGTTATGAATGAGAAAACTTGGCTTTAGACTACATTCAATTTTTTAAAAATATTAAAGACAAAAGGAATCCATAAAAGAAAACAAAATTTATTTAAAATGCTTTAATGTAACTCAGGCTGGGTACGTAGCTCAGTGGTAGAGCGCTTGCCTAGCATATATGAGGCACCGGGTTTGATTCTCAACACCACATGTAAACAAATAAATTAAAGATCCATTGACAACTAATAAAATATTTTAAAAAATAACTGTAATTAAAAAAATACTTATCCAACATGGAAAAATGAGAACAATATGGTGGGGCCAAAAGTGATTTCTATTTGCCTTAAAAATTACCATTTTTAGATGTTGTAATGTTGTTTTACAGTAAAGTTGGGGTTAAGAGATAACTTACCCTTCGGTCAGCTGCTACAAGTCTAAATTCCTGTAATAACTTGCCAAAAAAAGATCTTTGCGGTTTTCGAAAGAGATGAATTGTCCCCTTTAAAACAAAACAAACAAAAATAATATCAGCACTTAAGCATCAAATGTTCTTCCTAGTTCCTGTGATGTTATAGTACTAATAAGAACAACTAACATTTATTGAGTACTCTACATGACAAAGCACTTATTCTAGACCCTTTACATGTATTTATCAATTTAATACTCAAAACAATCCTGTGTGTAGAAACAATTTTTACATTTGGTAAGTTGTCCAAAGTCACAAAGCTAGTATCTTGGTAGGGTTTTAAATTTAGGCATTTTAGCTCTAGATCACTCTTAGAAAAGGAAAGGGGAAAAGAAAATTTCCAAATAGCCCCACTAGAAAGAAAATATTACAATTAACCTAATCAAACCTAAACATATGAAAGTTCTGGCAGCTATTATAGTAAAACCCCTTAGGCATTCAGTCAAAAGCATCTGACACCCTAGCTAGTATCCATGATCTCTGCCAGTATACAGCATGAGGCTAGCACTGAAAAGGGTGGGCAGTAGGGTTACCAGAGAGATAGACCAAGTGACAATTTGAGGAGATTTTTGGCCCAAGTTTAGGAAACCATGCAGGAAAGCTTTTAAGGGAACGTTCAGGTGAGGCATAGTAGAGAACACCTGTAATCCCAGCAATTTAGGAGGACGAGGCAGAAGAACTTCAAATCTAGGCCAGTGTCAGCAACTTAGCAAAATACAGAGTGCAAAGGGCTGGTGGTATAGTTCAGTGGTTGAGTGCCCTGGCACTTGATTTCCAATACCGAGGGTTCAAACACAGATGAGAAAATAACTTATGATAAAGGCAGTATCTAATAGCAGTGAGAGAAAATATGAGCTATTCAATAAATGTATTCCAATGAAGGAAATGTTGCATCCTTACTATTCTTTATTCTGATTTGTTATTTAAAAATTAAAATACAAAACTATGCCTGAAGAAAATATGGATTATAATTTCATCATCTTGGAGGCGGGGATGTGGTATAGGACAGAGGCAGAAACCTAATTTATGTCTCCGAGGAAGACCAAAAGGGGTATTTTAGTTGTGTGCTACAGTTAAATGAAGTTATAATATTTAATGGAAATAATGGGAATAATGCCAAAAGATCTGTGATCATTAACTATTCCATTAAAAATACTTAAACCTTTGTATACTGAAAATATGGCATGGCCCTGTTAATTTTTCTAGCATAGGTTTCCAAAAGCAAAACTCTACAGCTACTTTTAAGTCAAAGACCTTCATAATTTATAATTTTTTTGTGTGTGGTGCTGGGATTGAATCCAAGGCTTTATTCATGTGAGGCCAGCTCTCTACCAACTAAGCAATATCAACAGCCCAATTTATAATAATTTGATTGCTATGTGTCACAACTTAAGTATTTGTATTTTTAAAAAAAATACTTTCCTTGATGGTAAACGCCACACTCATTCTAACAACCACAGGACACTTCAACCTCACTAAGTTGGCCAGTTTCACTCAACTTTTTAAGCTCCAGAAAACACTGGAACTGGGTTATTAACAGATTAAAACTGAAAAACTTTCAGATTCAATTCAAACACAGGAATGATTTTCTTACATAGTTAAGAAAACACCTCAATAGTTATAGAAGGCATGTCCCCTCATTGCTGGTAGGACTGCAAATTGGTAGGAATCAGTATGTACATTCCACAGAAAATTTGGAATGGAATCTCCATTTGACCCAGTTATCCCACTCCTTGGTTTATACCCAAAGGACTTAAAATTAGCATACTACAGTGATGCTGCCACATCAATGTTTATAGCAGCTCAATTCACAACAGCTAAACTATGAAGGTGCCCTTCAACAGATGAATGGATAAAGAAAATGTGGTACATACACAATGGAATATTACTCTGCCTTAAATTATGGCATTTGTGGGTAAACGGATGGAGCTGGAAAATATCATGCTAAGCGAAATAAGCCAATCCCAAAAAACCAAAGGCCGAATGTTTTCTCTGATAAGCAGATGCTGATCCATAATGTGGGGAGAGGTAGGGAAGAATGATGGAATTTTGGATTGTGCAGAGGGGAGTGTGGGCGAGTGCAGGGATGGGAAAGACTTTGGAATGAGACTGACATTATTACCCTATATACATGTATGATTACACTATTGGTGTGACTCTGCACCATGTACAGCCAGAAGTTGTGCTCTATTTGTATACAATGTGTCAAAACGCATTCTACTGTCATGTATAACTAAGTAGATTAAAAAAAAAAAAAAAGGTGTGTCCCATTCTTCAAAGCTTAGACATGCATTAGTTACATTATGCTGAGACTTCCTGTCAGAGAATGGACAAAGCATAAAAGTGTAGTATAAGAAAAATATCAATAGGAAGTCAAAAATTGTTGATGCCAAGACAATGGGTACATAGGGCTCATTAACAGTCTCTTTACTTTTGTGTATGTTTGAAATGTGTCATAATTAAAAGCAGTAGAATACAATCTGAGAATTGAAATGTTACACTTGATTTGTGTATGATGAATTGAAATGCATCCTACTGTCATGTACAACTAAGTAGAATAAAATATTTAAAAAATTAAAAAAATAAAAAGCAGTAGAATAATGAAGTAAAACATTTTGAAAAGTAAAAATAAACACTAGAAGTGTTACTAATTTTGTTATCCAAATTAACTAGTATTTAGCAGGGTGCAGTGGCACATGCACATAATCCCAGCAATTTAAGAGGCTGAAGCAGGAGGATTGTAAGTTCAAGGCCAGCCTCAGTAACTTAATAAGACCCTGTCTCAAAATTTTAAAAACAGGTGGGGGCAGTGGTGGTCACTCAATGGTACAGTGCTTCCCTAGCATGCACAAGACCCTGTGTTCAATCCCCAGAACCACCAAAATTAAAAAAAAAAAAAAAGTGACTAGTGAATCTGTAAATCAAAGGCCCTGCTAAGCTAATTCAGTTTGATAGGTACAATATGCTATTTTCATTTGAGATGTTAATAAATGTTAATGTTAACAAATACATTGTGCAAGAATTATGTGTGGAATATTTTGGTCCCAAGATAATAAATGTTGCTTAATATTGTTTTCCTTGGAAAATCTTCTGTTTGACTTCAATCCATTTTGCTTATTACTTTAAGTTTCAGGTTAAGAAAATCAACATGATTTTTAAAAGACAGATGTCCACTTTTGATACCATACTCACATTAAAAATGAAACAAAAATTCTAACAGTCATATCATTCTTTCCAAAATTATATTGGTTCTCCGTTGCTATGAGGATAAACTCCAAATTTCACAAACTGAAATCTTGACTTGTTTTCAATAACTTAGCCTGTTTCTTTCTAGTCTTATTTCTTATTCCAGTTAGAAAGTCTCAACTCTAGCTAAACTGGCCTACTCTTGATCACTGCAAAGTGAAAAGGTGAGACTTGTGTAATCCAAACTCTACTAACCCTGTCACAGTTCACCTATTTCCTCACCTAAATGAGAGACATATTAGATTCAGAGTATATGAATAAGGGCTGGGTATGGTGGTGCATACATATAATCCCAGTGACTGGGGAGACTGAGGCAAGAGGATTACAAGTTCAAGGACAGCCTGAAGAACTTAGCAAGACCCTGTCTCAAAATAAATAGTAACTGGGAAGTGGCTCTATGATTAAGTGCTCCTAGACTCAATCCTAGATACAAAAAAGAGAAAAAAAGTATGTGAATAAGAAACAAATGTTTCACTTCTTCCATGAACTCTTCCTAGCTCATTCCAAACTGTAGTGCTTTCTATGTACTTTTATTATTTTTATTGTTAGCCAAGGGGTCATTTTCATTTTGTTATTGTACATTGTAAGTTAAATTTTTAGTAACACCACTAAAGACAATGGCTATATTTTCTAACAAAGCCTATGAATCCATGAATGACTCATAAAAGTGTTTTCCCTAAAACATTTAAGATAAACCTAGGGACTGGGGATGTAGCTTAGTGATAGAGCGCTTGCCTTATATATACGAGAGAGGCCCTGAGTTAAATCTCTAGCAACTCTCTCTCTCGTACACACATACACAGAAACCTTGAATGCCATTATTTTCCTGTATTACTAATAATAAAGTTTCAAGCATAAACATTTAGTGCTATAGTTTACTTAAAAACAGATATTTATTGAAAACTTCCTCTGGACCGGGCACTGTACACAGTTCTGGGAATACCAGAGTGACACATATGGTTCCTGCTCTCAATGAGCTCACAGTCTGAGGTAAGAACAATCAAGTACACAGGTTTTTTTAAAAAATACTTTTTTAGATGTCGATGGATCTTTAATTTTTTTTAATATGTAGTGCTGAGAACTGAACCCAATGCCTCACACATGCTAGACAAGCGCTCTACCACTGAGCCACAAACCCAGTCCACATGTACAGTTTTAATATAGTCTGGTAAGGGATACGGATGCTATTGGTAAAAAGCATAAGGTATCCAAATTTAAATTTGTAAGTTAATCAAAGTGTACAATCTGAAAAACCTCTGAATTTTAAGTTTCTTTTTAATTCATCCTCCAATCCCTTCATCAGTGTTTCAGGCAAGTTAGGTTTTTAAGATATATATGCATTTTGTGAAGTTTTCTTTATGTAATAAAACTGCTTATTCATTTCAGAAAAAAAGCATAAGTTATAATTATAGGAGCACAAAGGAAAATCTGCTCTCAGGACACTGGGTCATAAAGGAAAGGTTCATGAAAACATTAAGGATATTTAAAGGTTAGGTTAGTAAGGATAGAGAGCTGGGGATGGAGAACAATGCAGGAAATGGAGTAGCACATATAAATTAGGCACAAAGTAGGCTTTCCATGTTTTTCACTGTGGCTGAAATAAGGATGGGTGTGTGTGTGTGTGTGTGTGTGTGTGTGTGTCTGTGTATAAAAGGGTCTGTAAAGGTAAAAAGGTAAGAAGCTTGACTATGGATGGTTTTGTAGTAACCAAAGTAATAACTCTGCCTTGAGGGCTACAGGAAAAAAATTTTTTTCCCTTCAGTACTAGGGATTGAACCCACGGCCTCATACATGCTAGTCAAGTGCTCTACCACCAAGCTACTGAGCTGCACCCCGAGTCCTGTTTATTTTGAGACAGGATCCTAGCTAAGCTGCTCTGACTGGCCTCAAACTTGTGATCCTCCTGGTTCAGCCTCCCCAGTAACTAGAATGGCAGGCATGTTCCACCATGCACAGAAAAAAAAAAGGAAAAACTTTAAGCAAGGACATGACATGGTCAAATTTTAGAAATATAATTTCAGCTATCCAATAGTGAATGTTTTGAAGTAAAGCATAACTAGAAACTATTTGGTCATTAGGAAAAAAGAAAGAGAAGTAAACTTTAACCCACTTTCCCTGTTCAAAGACTTAGACAATTTACAGAAATTCGACCACATTCACTTAAGGAAGAACAGCTTAGGTTAAGAAATGTAATCCCTTTATCATACATAGGCTACCCATAAGTGTCAATAAATTTTTCTGTTTCAAGAAACACACACCACTTTGCCATCTGACATTACAAGATTAAATTGCAACACTTATATATTGATTTTTAAAGGCCTAAAGTGACTAATTCTTCTAATAAATTGTGATGAAACATCATATCTCAACAATTATAACGAATAGTGGGATCGTTCACTAATTTCTACAAAAACAGAAATAAAGTAGTAATAAAATGCTCTATTAACACCTCGGCTCTGTGTAATCACTGTTCCTTACGGAACATGCTGCCATACCTCGGGTGTCTGTCATAAAACCCTCCTCCTAACTTTGTTTCCCCTGGCGTTACTGTCACTTCTCTAAGCATCACATAATCGTCGTGGTTGCTGTGGATTTGTTTTCAGATCTTTTGCTGGTCATGTAGTCGCTGACGCCGGAAAAGGCTTTTATTTTTATAGAGAGGAAATCTCGGCAGGGGAAGCCATAAATTCTCCAGGAGCTGAAAGCTTGGCCTGGAGCGGAACTCGGATCCCGAGAAGCAAAGGAACGGGGTGAAGAACAGAAAGGGACCAGGGATGTGGGGGGAACCGTTTGGGCGACAGCCGCTTCTCCTCAGGGGCCCGACAGCAACTCCGACGACCCCTCCTCTGAGAGGCTGAGGCATTTCAAGTCAGCTTCGGACGAGAGACGATAACAGGAATCACCTATGACAGAAACCCTCATTACCCCTAGGCCAACTCACCATGATAAGGAGCTGCACAGCTCCCGCCGGAAGACGCTGTGGGGGCTCAATTTGGCCAGTGCGGAAGGGGAGGGGCACCAGAGGCCTATTGGCTGCGAAAGACGCGGGGGCGGAAGTACGTGCCCAGGCCTCGGGGTCCCGCCCCTTCCCGGTTGCTGAGCATCTAGTGGAGGTGAAAGCGGCGGCTAGACCGTCCCTTGCGCTGTCTTCCCTGTCTTGCCAATGACTTGAGCTGTTTAGGCCAGTGACAAGGAGCAGTTAAAGTTTACTTTAACACGAGGAAAATGTCGCTGACTGCTGAAGCACTTATATCTATGTTGTGTGATTAAATTTTTACGAAATGAATAGTATTCCCGTTCTACAAAGGAGTACAAAGAGGAAGATTGAGAAACTTGTCTAGGTTGCTGTGGTAGCAGAAGTTAAACTTGGAATGCCTAATAGCAAGTACTGTGTGGTGGACTCTCTAAAATATTATTTAAAACCATTATAAAGTTAATTTTGTTATGCAGATAACATTAATTATAGAAAACTTGAAAAATACATTAATATTGGATGAAGACTGAATATGGAGCACCTGTGTGAGTTAGGTACTGGTTTCTTGAAAATTATATGGTAATAAGAGAGAAAATCAGCGGGAGAGCGAAAAGTTTAAAAACAAGATATTCTTAACTAGCGTCAGGTAGGAACTAGCGTCAGGTAGGAAATAGGACAGTGCCATTACAGATTAACTGGATGGTTAATTTACAGTAGTGGTCATCAAAAGCTCTATGGAGATGAAATTTAACTTCTGATTGGGTAAAATCTTTGAAGTTTTTTCCAGACACTATAAACAAGTAGAGCAAACATCCTTAGTCGAAAGAGACTGTATTTTTAGATCTGAAAGTACATACTAGCCCACACAAAGATAAAAATTTATAGTATGTTTTTTACTGAATGTGCTTTTTACACCATTGCAGTCTAAAAATCATTAAGACATTTAAGTTAGGGACCATTTTTATAAGGGAATATTCCATGCTAAACAGACATATAAACCCAATGAAACTTCAGTATAAGCAAGCCATAAGACCTAATGATTGATTGCAAGTTCCCTTTAGATTGAAAGATCAGTTATTGACTCTCCTCTCTATTTTCATATACCTTATTCCAGAATGCTCCTACCCACCGATTACCTTCCTTTTTATCTCTGACACCCATATTAAGTTGTCCATTGTAGATAACCTCCTCACTCCATTTGAGCCACCTCTCTCCTCACTGAACTTTGATCTAAAACACTGTGCCACCAAGAGTTAAAAATTAGGCCTGAGGGCTGGGGTTGTGCTCAGTGAGTGTCTAGCTTGTGCGAGGCCATGGGTTCGATCTTCAGCACACATAAAAATAAATAAAATAAACGTGTTATTAAAAAAAAATTAGGAGGCTGGGGATGTGGCCCAAGCGGTAGCGCGCTCGCCTGGCATGCAATGTGGCCCGGGTTCGATCCTCAGCACCACATACAAAGATGTTGTGTCCGCCGAAAACTAAAAAATAAATATTAAAAAATTCTCTCTCACTCTCTCTTTTTAAAAAAATAGGTCTGAGACTGTTATCTTTATAAAATCGTGCTTGCAAGATTGGCTCTTGGCTGGCATCTGGAAAACTGGATTTGGAGGGTTCTCCTTATTCTCTTAACAGAGTGGCTCACTATGCCCAACAGTCAGGCTTACAATTGCACACAAATTGTTACCTGTTGCTGAAGAAATTAACTGTATTTTGACTCCACTGGGTGAGGAGTTATGGAAACTGGTGCTTGGCTTTGTGCTTTCTACTTTTTGCTAAATTTGCTTTATATCCTTTTGCTGTAACATTTGTTATGAATATAATTATATGCTGAGTCCCTTCAGTGCTCCTAATAGATTATCAAATCTCTGATAGTCTTTTGAGGGTCCAACCACCTAAGGACTTTAAAACGGTAGTTCAGGAAGCAAGTCAGTAAGGCAATTCTTTTTAATTTGTTAATGTTGTTGTATTTCATTTCCACTTTGTCTCATTGTATTCACCTCATTTGCTTGTTATTATTTTTCCCCTTTCTTGATTCCATTTGAATCATAATTCTTAGCAGGCTATCTCATTTTTTCTAATGGCTTTTAGATATACTGCACTGTTTTTTCAGTGAAAGATTATAGTATGCACCATCAATTTACCACAATCTATCTTATGTTAATACTAGACCACTTTGTGTACAAATAACCCTTAAAAATCAAATTCCATTTATTATTCTCTTCAGCTCTTTGTGCTTTTGTTCTGTATTTTACTTCTACAAGTATGAATAACAATACTATAATTTCTTTTGTTTTAAATAGGTAGTACTTAGAAAAATTCAGCAAAAAGTAATTTGTCAACCTATTTATAATTTCCAAAGTTTTTAGTTCCTTTCTGGAGATACAAGTTCTCATTAAGGATAATTTTCTTTCAGTCTAAAAATTTCCTTAAGCATTTTCTACATCAGTATACCTGTGAGAAATTGTTTTGCTTAGGTTTATCTGGAGAAGCGTTTACTTTTAACATTTTGAACAATATAACTACAGAATTTTAACTTTTGCTTAATTTTGTAACTTATCAATGTCATTTCATTATTTTCTGAATCTCAACATTTCTCATGAGGTTATGCAATGTTATTCCACCATCATACCTATTCTTGCGTTGCTTGAATCTACTGAAATCTTTCAACAATTTTGGGGAAATTTCACTTATTATTGCTTCAAATATTTATTGCTTGATAATCTTTTCCTCTCTGTGCCTAATTATGGATACTTTAGTACTGTCCCACAGGTCTCAAATCTCCATTTTTTTCTTTCTCAGTGCTTTGCTAAGTTTATTGGCTTGTCTTTCAGTCATTCCTCTCTGTCCAATTTAGTTATGGCCATCTAATGAAACTTTATTTCAGGTACTGTACTTTTCTGATCACACACACACACAAAAAAAAGCACACTTTTTATTAATAGACTTCCCATTGGGCTAATTTCTATTTCTCTGCTGAAAAATCCCAATCTGTTCATCATTTTCTCTTTTCCTATAAATTCTTTGAAACGTATTTTAAAATCATTCTGTAATAGGATGCTATTATAGGGGTCTACTCTAACAGTTCCTTTTTTTGAGATGAAGTTCTGTGTTACCTAGGCTGGCCTTGGACTTATGTACTCAAGTGATCCTCTCCTGCCTCAGCCACCTGAGCAGGTGGGGACTACAGGCATGCATCACTGACATTCAGCTTATATATTTTATATACTGATTATGGGTTATATAACTTTTCTTTGCATGCTCAATAACTGCAAAGTAATTGCAAAGAGTGCAAAGATAACAAGACAAGGATAAAAAATGCCGCTTTGTTCTGGCTTTAATCTACTAATGGATAACCCTGATGCTGTTGAAGTAAGTTTTGTTATAGTGAATTTCTTTCTATTTTGCCCTTAGTTGTAAAGGACAGCCACTAGTATATTGTCATTATTCCTATAGCCCAGCTCCTTTTGATTTAAAATGATAAACACAAAGTGTTTTACTCAACCCCCTATTAGAACTTGAGTTTCAAAACTATCCTCAAGCATTTGATATCTCCTGCTGTGTTCTTCAGACTATTGCTTTGTGCTGGCTTCCTTTGACTATCCCCCTACACAGGTACAATTTTGGAATTCAATAAGAATTTGAAAGGAACGTACAGGCAGATTTGGGGGCTTACTTCTCTAAGGCCTTTCCAATACATCCCTTCTAATTTCAAGCTGTTCTAGAAGTATCACATGACTACTCAGCACAGCAAGACTGACACATTTGGCTTGAATTCTATTCCCAGATAAATTGCACTGTAGGTAAAAGCTGTTTATTGTAAATTTCTCCTAATGTAGCATTTTGTAGAGTTTCTCTCTGATTTTCATTGCTGTATTGGGGCGTTCTACTCATTGCTTTTTATATTTGGTCAGAGTTTATAAATGTTATTGTCAAAAGAGTTATAAAATGCCCCAATATGGGGCTGCAAACTCTGAAATCTAAAAAACATTTTAAATAAAATAAAGGCAAAATAAAGTTTATCATTTATTTACAATCCATTAGGATAAATACCCATTTTATGCAGCTATACCCTTTAATTCATTTTTTTCTGAAATAAGTACAAAAGACCAGACTAAAATTGAGACAAGCATTTAAAGGAAAATCCTTTGACTCAAGAGTCCAAAAAAACTGTAAATGGTTCATTTTACCAAAAGAATTAGTTTTTGTACAAAATATAAAGAACTTTACACTATAAACAAAGACTGCTGTATATGTATTTAAATAAGAATTCTACTTGCTTTTTCTCCAATTCTTCTCAAGCACAAAGCATACATATGCAAGCCAGAAACCTAATAACCTCAATGGGCAGACTGTTTCAGAATAAGCTTTCACTCCCAATACATTTTGGAAATATAGTACTGATTTTTTTCTTTTGGCTCAAAGTTGAGAACATCAATAAGTTTCAATTTAGTTCACAAAACTCTGCCATATTAACATGAAGAGCACACCAATGCTTCATATTCAAGCACTGAATATAACAGTTTTAAAAAATAATATAACAGCTCAACATGAAATATAAAAGGTTACAATCTATGGCTAATATTAATTCAGAAAACATCCACAGCTTCTATTTTTATTGAAAATGACCAAACCATTCCCTTACCTCCTACTATGTAATTATTCTACTTTCATGGCCCTTCTATAAAAGAAACACAACTTAAAACTTGGTTGTAGTACATCACAGAAAATATTTCTTTAGTACTAGCATTATTCACACTTAATCAGCAAAGGAATTTTTGTACGTAGATATTTAGACAGTAATATAATTGACTCAATTTTATGATATTAACTTGACTTTTATGAAATCTTTGCTATCTAAAAACTTTCCCAATAGAATTATAAATCATAATTTTAAAGGAGATCATATTTAAAAATTTGGGCTAGAACCACAGTCCTTTAATATGATTGGTAAGTTATCTAAATATTGATGTTAATCCCTTTCTAAATAAAAAAGAATTTT